CTTCTCCACCCCTCCCTTCCCCTACACTTGGCTTCTGATGCAGGCTGGAGAAGCGCATCCCAGCTCCGTCACTCTCCAGCCCAGCCCGGTGGGTCTGGAGGGCCACGCTTTGATCTCCAACAGCACATTCCACTCGCTCTTGTCTTCCTGAGAGACCGCTACCCGCCAGGCTCTCCGTTATTTATGTGTAACAGTCTGCGTTGGCCAACAGGGTTGACTCCACGTGTTTAGAAAATCTCATTCAGATAAACGTCAGGATTGGTACCATTCAGTCTGACCTACTGGAGTAGTTCTCTGAAACTGCAGTAAATTAATTGAGGGTGAAGATGGGCAGAAAAATTCTCTCCAGCCTCTTGGGTAACATGTTACATGTTACCCAGCATGCTTGAGCATGTTACTACCTTTCTTTTCCTCACAGAGTACATCCACAAGCGTGATGTATGTCTTCAAGAATTACTGCAGGAATGCGTCTTGCCTAATCCTTCACAGCATCACTTTGTGTATTACCTTCTCTGAGAACAGCTTTTAAGAGGTTCATCCCAGCAATAAATGTGTCCTGGTTCTAGCCTTATTTAGGTTTCCTGAAAGATCTAGAAGTGACCAGTCTCCCGTGCGGTCCTTACTCAGGCTGTGGCAGATAGCATCCTAAATTCTAAATCTGCGGGTGTCCATGAGGTTTCCACTCTGGTTTTGAAATAGGTGCTTGATTTGTTCCTTTTCTCCTTGAAGCACAGTGTTTTCATTTTGAGCCCCTGGTGTCTGTCACACGTGTGCATGTTCATTTCCCTAATTGCTTTCCTCTGTGCATTTCTCCTGCCTTCTGTGTGATTTCCCCCTCATCGTTAGTTTGTATATTTTCTGCAGTGTTGATTCTAGTCTTTACTGCTTTTTAAAATTTTTAGTTTCGTTCCGCCATTTTTCTCCTCTGCTGCTTTTGTTTATTAAGAGCTGGGCGGCTCCCTTCAGGTGTCTGTCATCTTCATCTTTGCTCTCCAATGTTTTATAAAGTCCATCATTTTTTGTCTTCTCTGATTTTTCCCTGCTTTCTTTCAGAATTTGATTTTTATTGTAGTTTCCTATCTTCATTTTCCTATGAAATTTGGATAGGCCCAACATCAGTTTTTAAACAGATGGTCTAGCCAGATACGTTATTTGCCAAGACAGTGTGAATATATAAGCTTGACCTCTTTCTGTCCTGAGCTGAGCAGTGTGTCTTCACACCAGAATCTCAGCTGCAGGGTTTCTGAGGACTGTGGTTCAGTTAGCGGCCTGAGGGATTGGAAGAGGAGCAGGGCTGTGTCCAACTCTCCTCTGTGCACCCTGCCTTCCTGCCCTTCTGGGGCTTACCCCATCCCCTGGGGTGGCCTTTGGTTTTCACTCTGTCCCCCATTGGGGTACCAGCCCTTTAGAGAAATACCCTCAGACAGGGTTGCTGGCCTTTTGGTCAATGTGGTTGTGGACACGGTGTTTTCCTTGCCCGACCATGCCAGCCTCTGCTGCCGCAGGATGGGAGGAAGTCCAGCGACAGGCCTGTAGTGACTGCAGCGAGTGATGGGATTTCAGGGTTAAGTTTGCCACAGGATACAGGATGGCCTGAAAGCCAGCAGAAACATAACCATCCATCCTGTTATGAGACCACTCGAGGAGGAGGATAAAGAAGTAATTAGCCCCTTCAGTTGGCTGGCGTTTGGGAAGAAGAATTTGTTTATGTAAAAAGGATTACCAGTCAATCCTAAAGGAAATCAACCATGCATATTCACTGGAAGGACTGACACTGAAGCCAAAGCTCCAATACTCTGGCCAGCTGATACGAAGAGCCGACTCACGAAAAGACCCTGATGCTGGGAAAGATTGAAGGCAGGAGGAGAAGGGGACGAGAGGATGAGATGGTTGGATGGCATCACCAATTCAATGGACATGAACTTGAGCAAACTCCAGGAGATGGTGAGGGACAGGGAGGCCTGGCATTCTGCAGTCCATGGGGTCATGAAGAATCAGACACGACTTGGCAACTGAACAAGAACAAGAAAAGGGACTAAGTTGTTGGTAAAAGGTGTTTTTTTTTTCCATTTATTTTTATTAGTTGGAGGCTAATTTACAATATTGTAGTGGTTTTTGCCATACATTGACATGAATCAGCCATGGGTTTACATGTGTTCTCCATCCCAATCCCGCCTCCCGCCTCCCTCTCCATCCCATCCCTCTGGGTCTTCCCAGTGCACCAGCCCTGAGCACCCGTCTCATGCATCCAACCTGGGCTGATGATCTGTTTCACCCTTGATAGTATACGTGTTTCAATGCTATTCTCTCAGAACATCCCACCCTCGCCTTCTCCCACAGAGTCTAAAAGTCTGTTCTGTACATCTGTGTCTCTTTTTCTGTTTTGCATGTAGGGTTATCGTTACCGTCTTTTTAAATTCCATATATATGCATTAGTATACTGTATTGGTCTTTATCTTTCTGGCTTACTTCACTCTGTATAATGGGCTCCAGTTTCATCCGTCTCATTAGAACTGATTCAAATGAATTCCTTTTAATGGCTGAGTAATATATGGTGTATATGTACCACAGCTTCCTTATCCATTTGTCTGCTGATGGGCATCTAGGTTGCTTCCATGTCCTGGCTATTATAAACAGTGCTACAATGAACATTGGGGTGCACGTGTCTCTTTCAGATCTGGTTTCCTTGGTGTATATGCCCAGGAGTGGGATTGCTGGGTCGTATGGCAGTTCTAGGTAAAAGGTGTTTTTTTTTTAACTCATTATGAACAACTTAGGTGTTAGATAGTATAAAAGAGCCAGCGTTTATTTAAAGACTTGGAAATACATATACATATTTCTGACACATTATTTACTTTTTAAAATTCTCTTAGTAGACTGTATATTAACATTAATATAATAAATGTAAATATTCTTTAAGCTAATAATGTGTGTGTCCACATGTAACTTCAGCTCTTCAGTATGCTGTGTTGTCTCTTGTCTCAGACTTCGCCAGTGCTGTGATGTCTACTGACAAGACTCTTGCCCACCCTCCCTTCTGTGTCCCATCTGTAGACACTCTGTGAATCACTCTAGTAGGAATTAGTGTTTGTCTTGTTTCCTACCGGTTTCCTACAAATACTATCCACCTGATAATATATCAAATGATAATGTATCTGCCTCATGTATAAAGTGTTCAGAAAATATGATGAAATTCAATTTTCTGATGACTAGAATGGACTTGTGTGATTAAGACATGCCTCTTGAGGTATTTTGATAGTAGTAATTTCATGGGGAAGAAAAGGAAAGATGTGAACAGGCAAGGTCTCAAGGAGACAGGGTGCTGTCATGCAGTGTTACTGAGTGTCCTGTCTGCACCCAGTGTTTGGCAGGCACCGCTGTGCTGTGCTTAGTCACTCAGTTGTGTCCAACTCTTTGCGGCTCCATGGACCTTAGCCCACAGGACCTCTCTATCCATGGAGATTCTCCGGGCAAGAATACTGGAGTTGGTTGCTATGCCCTCCTCCAGGGGATCTTCCCGACCCAGTAATCGAACCAGGTCTCCTGCATTACAGGCAGATTCTTTACCAGCTGAGCTACCAGAGAAGCCCTAAAGAAGCATAAAACTAGCTGCTCAAGGAAACCAGTTGTCACATTGTAGGGAGAGAATTAATACTGGTCAAAGGACTGAGCTCAGCCATAAGGAGCTATTGATGGCTTTGACTCTGGAGAGGTTTAAGCAATTGGAATCGCTATTTTTTCTGTTTGAGTTGCAGTCAGCACTCAGTGAGCATGACTTGTATGTGAGCGTGAAGAGGAAGTGATATGTCTCGGAAGATGCTGTGGTCCAGGTTATCGCGCTGCCTTCAGGAAGCATCCTGAGGGCCGTGTGCTATCATAGTTCACAGATGATGCATCTAAGTCAGGGTTACTGTTTTGACCTTGGCATCTGTGCTGTGCTTGCTGGTCTGTCACCCTCTTCCAGTCTGCCTGGGGTGCCCCGTGTGGGTAGGAGGGTAGTGTGGTGCTGAGGAGATGGAAACACTGTTGAGTTGGACACACATGGTTTTACCTATCTCTACCATTTTGTCCACAGTTTTCATACCTACTGTGTGTCTGCTGTTCAGTGACTGTGAGGGTCAAATATAATTCATGGAGAATACTTAATAGTTTAGCGTGAAGCACACAGCAAGTGCTCAGTGGCAGGTTAGCAGTAGCTGTCTCCATATTGTCACTGTGGCCTAAAATACTGACTCTTCCAGTGACAGTATTTTACCCGTTTTCTGTTCTTGAAGCACTTTCCATGCATTGTGTGAATACACTCCTGAAACAGGGCCCCTTATCAGACAGGCTGTGCTTTATCTTCACCTAATCTGCTGCCTTCCTGACTCTCTGAGCCTCTCCGCCTTGCGGTCCTGGAGCACACCATGCCTGCTCCCAGGCATTTGTTCTTTTTTCACCTCCTGCCTGCAGAGTGCTCCCTCCCCAGAGCACCTGGCTCCCGAGCTGCCTTGCTTCACCTCCTGAATGTCACCTTTCCCTGTCCATCCTGTGTGACGTGTTCTCCTTAGCACTTCCTTATCTAGCTCTGTCCCCCTTCATGGTGCATCTTACTGCCTCACAGAATTTCTTGCATTTGTTCTTTGTTGCTCTCCTATTTGGGGCTGTGGGTTCACCGCATCTCTGCTTTGTCTCCAGTGCTCCAGTAAATCTCTCTTCAGTAAATGACTTCAACATTTGGAGGTTGTGAGACCTAATGACTAAAAGTACTCTTTAAAGATTATTCCGACTCTTTAAAGATTGTTTGTGTCCAACTCTTTGTGACTTTGTGGACTGTAGCCTGCCAGGCTCCTTTTTCCATGGAATTCTCCAGGCAAGAATACTGGAGTGGGTAACTGTTCCCTTCTCCAGGGGATCTTCCCAACCCAGGAATCGAACCCAGGTCATTTATTCCAGAAGTATCTAAGCTGGGGACTAATGCCAGGAAAAAAACCTAAAATTTCGGTTTCTTTTTCTTTTAGAGAAGTGTGAACTCCGGAGAGATTACAGGAAAGCCGTCTCCTCGTAAACAGCGCTTCATGCAGTTCTCGTCCTTGGAGTATGGCGGGGAGTACTACATGACACCCCGGGACTTCCTCTTCTCTGTCATGTTCGACCACATCCAGCGTAAGTGGTTTGGTTTTTGAAGTTAAGGAATCAAATGTTAGGGCTGAAAAACCTCTGGTTTTCAGAATTGTAACAACTTTTTCTTCATTTTAATTATCATCATTCTTTGTACCATGCGTGTGCTTAATTATTTAAACTTTTCCTCCCTTGTAGTACTGAACTTATTTATCTAAGAAATAGTTGCTTGTTCATGGATTTTTCTAAAGAGAGAAAAAAGTAAGGTTTTAAATGTCACTAAATAAATTATTAATAGGATAACTAATTCATCCAGGATGTTAGGTTTTAAATCAATAAAACATTTTCTTTTGGGGGCAAAAAAAGAAACTAGGCTAAAACAATTAGGAGAGTCATATAATGGAGTCATGATGCAAAAAAAATCCTGCAAAAATAGAATTAAGAAGCAGAACTCCAAAACCTATAATTAAATAATTTTATTTCATAAACTGTCAACTCTCAGCTATCCCAAATTGTCAGCAATCCTTATTTTCATTTATCTAAACGTTGCAGAGAGTAGACATGGCCCGCCTCTGTCCCCTGTATTGCCAAAGTGTTCTGTGAAAAGTTCTTGGCTTCCTGACACCTTGCAGAGTGGACACCATCCACAGTGTTGCCCTGTGGGTAGCTGCACATGGAACAGGCGGAGTGGGCCAGGGCAGGGTGAGCTGTGAGATGTGAAGGTCGAATTGGGAGACTGAGAAGATCTGGGAAGGCATTATTGGTATTGAGGGATGACCTGAACAAATGGGTGGTCACAGCCTGTTCCTGGGACAGTGAGTTCACCTATAGCTAGACTGGACGATGGTCCTGAGGAGAAGTGAGAGGTCAAATGAAAAACAACAAAGGCCAGGTGTAGAGATTGTGGTGACCCTGTTCACCAACCACAGACGTGTGTTTCTGGTGGGGATGGGGGTTCATCTTGAACCTGTGAGAGAGACTGAAGTGAAGGCTTACGAGAAGGAAAATAGTGTGGTAACAGTGTATTTAAATTATTTTGGTAAGCTTCTATTCATCTAAATTGATTAAAAAAAAAAATAGCCAGTTATGTTACCAGCAGAACAGTTTATTTGAGAGAAGTAGAGAATTGCAGTTTGGGACATGCATCAGTGATAAATCACAAGCAACCTAAAGTGAAGGAGAGAAACTGTCTTATGGAAGAGAGGGCAGCTTTGGGGAAACTGTTTTAGAGAAGAGAAAGGACAGCTCTGGGGAAACTGTTAGAGAAGAGAGGGCAGCTCTGGGGGCCTGTTATCAGTAAGGACTCCAAGGAACTCCCTGGGGGTCCAGTGGTTAAGAAGGTACCTTCCAGCACACGGGACACAGATTCAGTCCCTGGTCCAGGAACTAGGATTCCATATGTGTCGGGCCAACTAAGCCCACCTGTCTCAATGAAGATGCAGAACAGCCAAAACTATAAATAAACAGTCCACTGGAGGAAAGTGAGGGTTTGAAGTGCAGTGACTTTTCATTGCCTGGCCAGGAGAAAGTATTTCTTCTTCCTGCTGGGATCTGCGTGGACATGGGTGTTGTGTGTGTGAGCACCCCCACCCTAGCCTCCAGACTCACACTTCTTTGGAGAAAGCTTGACAGTATGTATCAGAAACCTTTGCAACATTTATTAATACTTATATCGATGCAATAAGTTCACTTCTAGAAAATTAGTCTAAGTAATTGGAGAGATACAAAATTTTCTTCTAAAAAGTAGGTTAGCCTCTTCAACAGGTAAAGAGCGTGGATGTCATCAATTCCTGTTCTCACAGCAAAAAAGAAGCTGAAAGATAGAAAATCAACAGCTCTTCTTAAGTCCACGAGAGAATTGAGACCGCAGGGCACACACACCTGAACGCTGAAGAAGACAGACACAGAGACAGAGCCTACCCAGGGTGCATGGAAGCCACTGCCAGAGCCAGCATCTGGCAGGAATGTTTTAAGAGTTGTTAGAATCTGAGCATGGGCTACCATAAAAGATAGAAATTTGTGAAAATCTAGCTATGAGGGGCCCCAGCAGTCCTCACAGTGAAGATCTTAAAAAATCCTCTCCTGGATTTTTCATGATTTCCTTTTTTGTGCAAAAGCTATTAAGTTTGATTAGATCCCCTTTTTTTTTTCATTACTCTAGGATTCAAATCCAAAAAGATATTGCTATGATTTATGTCAGAAAGTGTTCTGTCACCTGTATTTTCCTCTAGGAGTTTCATAGTGTCAGTTTTACATTTAGGCCTTTTATCCATTTTGAGTTTATTTTTGTGTTCATCCTGCTTGGTATTCTGTGAGCTTCTTGAATCTGTGGTGTGTGTGTGAACACACCATGAACCATGAGCAGAACAAAAAGACAACATACAGAATGGGGGAAAATATTTGCAGACAGTGCAGCCAACAAGGGATTAATCTCCAAAATATATAAACAGCTTCTATAGCTCAATATCAAAAAAACAACCCAAACAAAAATGGGCAGCTCTAAATAGACATTTCTCTAAAGAAGACATACAGATGGTCAAAAGGTACATAAAAAGATGCTCAATATCACTAATCATTAGAAAAATACAAATCAAAAAACTACAATAAGGTATCACTTCACACCAACCAGAAAGGTCATCATCAAAAAATCCACAGGCAATAAATGCTGGAGAGGGTATGGAGAGAAGGGAACACCCCACACTATTATTGGTGGGAATATAAATTGGTACAGCCACTATGGACAACAGTATGGGAGCACCTTTAAAAACTAAAAATAGAGCTACCATATGACACTGCAATCCCACTCCTGTGCATATATCCAGAGAAAAACATGATCCAAAAGGATACATGCACCCTAGTATTCATTGCAGCACTGCTTACTATAGCCAGGACATGGAAGCAACCTAAATGTCCATCAGCAGAGGAATGGATAAAGAAGATGCGGTACATATAGACAGTGGACCATTACACAACCATAAAAAGGATGAAATAATGCCATTTGCAGCAACATGGATGGACCTAGAGATTGTCATACTAAGTGAAGTAAGTCAGACAAGCATATCGTATGACATCCCTTATATATGGACTCTAAAAAGAAATGATACAAATGAACTTACAACACAGAAAGAGACTCACAGACTTAGAGAATGAACTTACGGTTGTGGGGGAGGGATAAGTTAGGGAGTTTGGGATGGACATGTATACACTGCTATATTTAAAATGGGTAACCAATAAGGACATACTGTATAGCATATGGAACTCTGCTCAATGTGTGTCTGGACAGGAGTGGAGTTTGGGGGAGAATGGATACATGTGTGTGTGTGGCTGAGTCCCTTCACTGTTCACCTGAAACTATCACAGCATTGTTAATCAGCTCTGTGAGTGCATGCATACTCAGTTGTGTCCGACTCTTTGCAACCCCATGGACTGTAGCCCACCAGACTCCTCTGTCCATGGGATTTTCCAGGCAATAATACTGGAGTTGGTTGCCATTTCCTACTCCAGAGGATATTCCCAACCCAGGGACCGAACCCACATCTCCTATATATCTTGCATTGGCAAGCAGATTATTAACCACTGAGCCACCTGGGAAGCCTTAATCCACTTAATCAGCTATACCCCAGTATAAAATAAAAAGTTTAAAAACAGAAGAATTTTCCCAAGTTTTACTTTACCTGGTTTTAGCCATAGTCCAGTCTGTTCTAATGAAGTTTAAAGTTTACTTTTTTTTTTTCTTGTTTTTATGCAGCCTTTGATTCAACCAACTTAGGTTCTTATAATGTTTCCACTTTATTTTTCATTGGAATGCAATTAAACTCTATCAGAAGGCATTTAGCTAGATCAAGAATTGAGTAATTTTGAAGGCCGAATAAAACATCCTTTAAGCATATGATGTACTTCATTTTTCACTGTGGATAAGAAGGAGAATAATCTCTATTGCATTCCTGTGGATCATGGTGAACAGAAAAACAAGGAAACACAGGGCAAGCCCAGTGACCCATGATCCTCATGTATAAACAGAAAGAAATACACCAGTCTGAAATTTATTAGCCCCTAAACTTATTTTTACCTGGTGTTTATCTTTCTGGACTCTGTACATTTTGTGCCTTTACTTCTACTTCAACATAGATTTTGTTGCACATAAATACATAAGGGTATAAATAATCCAAAGTAAGATTAACCCATTGGCATTAACAGTTTACTCTGAAAAGGGCTGTAATTAGGGCAACCATAGAATTTATTGGGTGCATGTGCCAGAATTGCTGGGTGAGTGTGTGTCTTGGTGAATTTATCTTAAGACTTTTGAAATTCTACAAATGAATCTTAAATTTTAAAATTGTTGCAGGTAAAAGAGATCCTTTTTATCTTTGCCACTATTGTAGCACTATTATTTGACTTGGGGCTGAGTTTCCACATCTCTGAGGTTTCCCGCTCTGTAATTTTGGGTACCATTTCATTCTCTCTAATCCAGGTGATGACAGAATTTCCCGAGCTTACTTGATAGTAAATTTAGAGAGAGCCTTTTGCTAAAATTTCAAGTCCTTCCCCTGTCTCCCCTCATGATTTTGATTCAGAAGGTCTGAGACAGGGTCATGGAATCAGTAATACCCTCTCATCCTTATCTGGCTGCCTGTCCTATAGTCCCGTATATTTAACAGGCACTCCCAGGTGATCATTTTGATCAGCAAGTTTGAGAAATAGTTAAAGGACAAATGTGAAAGAGCCGTGAAAGATGTCATGTCTTTGTAGTAGAGGCAGAGGGTGCTGAGCACTGAGCCCACACTCCTCCGAGGTCTGCCTGCTGACGCACACGGCAGCACACATGAACCTTGAGCAGGTTATGCTGGATGGGAGAAGCCACTCTCAAAGACCACATATTGCTTGATTCCATGTGTATGAAGTGGCCAGAACAGGCAGGTCTGCAGAGACAGGAAGTAGGTCAGTGGCTGCCCAGAAGTAGGGGCAGGAGAGTGACTTCTGATGAGTTTTCATTCTTTTGGGGGCCTGATGAAAATGTTCTGAAATTAGATGGTAGTGATGGTTGTACTACTCTGAATATACTGTATTCTAATATAATATACTCTGAATATATTAAACACCACTGAGCTATACAGTTTCAATAAATGGACTCTGTGGTATGTAAAATGTGACAGTAAAGCTATAAAAATATATATATATAACTAATCCTTGTTGCCAGTTTAAAATATTAATTTTAAAATTATTATACTTTACAAAAAATGGAGAGACTAAAATAATAAAAATGTGACTCTCTATATGCTTTCCTCATGTTGATTCTAAACCAAAACATTTTCACCTAGTACAATTCTGTCAGAAAAGTGAGCTGATTTGTAAGAGCTAATGCAGAAGTCTTAAAAATACGTAAAGCTTCTGATAAATTCACTTTCCAAATATTGGCTCTTTGGTCTTCCAAGGACTCACTGAGAAGTCTCCTTCCCCGCCCTGCAGTGGAGCAGAGTCAGCACGTGGGCGAGACTGGGCCGTGAGCACTGTCTGCCCTGGCGGCATCGAGCACTGTGCCATCCGCCCACGGAAACACGCTCTCCCCTGCAGGCCTTCTTGTGGACACATGTGCACACCGTCCCCCAGATGGGCCTAAGAAGCATGTCCATAGGTGTCAAGCGTCAGGGGAGCAAAACTTTCATCTGTCGCCTGGTACATGACCACTCCCCACCCCAGCCTGACTGGAAAGGAGGCATTTTCCAGTGTGAGAAGAGCAGGTTTAAAGCCCATGGACCATGGTGGGTTTTTTTGTTTTTGTTTTTCTTTAAAGACAGATTTCTCCTCCTTGGGAGAACATTCAGGAAGGTCAGTTTCCCTCCACTCTTACAGTCTTTAGACACTCGTAAGCTTTTTATCAACTTTCTTACTGTTTTTCTCTGATTGATGTAAAAAAGAATCATTAAAAAGAGATGAGTGTGAAATGAAATAAATGAAATCTTTAAAACATGACTCTTTTTATAATCTAAGCCCAAAGCACATTACTATTCTTCTGATATTCTTTGTAAAAGCATTCTAAGTATGAGATTCTGTGGAATTGCATGCAATGCAGTGATTTCCATCATTGCTGGGACCGAATTCAAGCAAGTGTTGGAGTAATCAGCTCTTAACGCCAGTCCTGATATTGATGCCAGAGCTCTTCCATGTATTTATGCAAAAGATATCTATTATCTGATTTTTATGTGTCGAGAGTCCGCTGATCTCTAGCAAAATGAAATTGAATTAGATACCATTAGCAATGTTTTTATAGTTATGGCTATCAAATAACTTTATTTTGGCTACAGGCAAAGATTTATTTGACCTGTAACTGTACTTAATATGTAGTAATGCAGTTTTACTTATTTTAAGTATTAAAATGGCTGTTTGCCTGTAACATGGTGTGCTTGTTCCTGGTTTTCAACTTCAGAAGTCCTCTGTAAACAGTGAAAACCATGTGCTGGAATCTCCAGAGTAGGTGGAGGCTTTTAGAACATTCTGCTTCTTGAGCCAAAATTCCATCGTAGTGCCTGAAGATTTATCCCTCCCTGCCCAGAAAAGCCACCATTTACTTTCCTCCTTTCACACTCGCACCACAAAGCAAGACAGCCTCTGAATCTACCTTTTTGGCTATTGTTTTATATGAGAACGTGAATATGTATGAAATAGCTATGAAAACAATAAGAATGAATTTCTTATGTATGTGAAAATATTAACAAATAATATGACTGATTAGGGGTTAATATTCCAAACCATATAAACAGCTCATTCAGCTCAATCTCAAGGGGAAAAAAAAAAGGACAGGAGACCTAAATAGACATTTTTTCAGAGAAGACATGCAGATGGCCAACAGGCATATGAAAAGATGCTCAACATTGCTAATCATCACAGAAATGCAAATCAGAACCACAATTAGGTATCACCTCCCACCAATCAGAGTGGCCATCCTCAAAAAGAACACAAATAACAAATGCTGTCAAGGAAAGGGAACCCTCATACGCTGTTGGTGGGAATGTAAGTTGATGCAGACACTGTGGAAAACAGTAGAGACTCCTCAAAAAAAAAATAAAAATAGAACTGCCATATGATCCAGCAGTCCCACTCCTCCTGGGCATGTATCCAAAGAAGAAAGAAACACTAATTTGAAAAGATCTGTACATATGTAGCAGAACTATTTACAATATCCAGGACACGGAAGCAACCCGAGTGTCCATCAGATAAAAGGATGAAGATGTGGCATATACATACAGTGAAGTACTACTCAGCCATAAAAAACGATGAACTTTTGCCATTTGCAATAGTATTGATGGACCTGGAGCGTATTGTGCTCAGTGAAATAAATCAAAGACAAATACTGTTATGTCATCACTTATATGAAGATCTAAAAAGTAAAGCAAATAACAGACTCACAGGCAGAGGGAACACACTAGTGGTTACCAGGGGGGGCGAGGGCAGCAGGGAGAGGCAAGATGGGGGTAGGGGATTGAGAGGTCCAAAGTACTCCGTATAAAATAAGCTATAAGGACGTACTGTGCAGCACAGGAAATATAGCCAATATCTTATCCAAATTATTAAACACTGGTATATATCTGAGACTAATATTGTGAATGAACTCTACCTCCGTTTTTAAAAAGTGGGGGAAGAGGACTACCAGAAAAAGAATCCTTGTATTGCAGTGAATTTCCCGTGTCCCAGTGTTGTTGCTGTTGTCAGATGGACAGTGGTCATGCCCCTCATGTACATCAGACTTCGCATCTCTTACTCTGATGCCCGGTCTCTCTCCTGGGGGAGCCCGTAAACAAAGGGTGTAAAACCCAGCAGCCTGGGTGAGAGGCGCTAAAGAAACCCCAGCAGAGCGTCCTGGGTGTGAAACACCACAGTCCCCTCTCTGACTCAAGAGAAGTGTTTAAGGAAGTGAGACAATGTGTTCTACTAGGAGCTCTGCCTTTTCTTTTTAACCTGAAAATGAATTTTTTGTAACAGAATGTACCCCAAACTTTTTTATCAGCCAAGATAATTTCTTTACCATTTTCTAATTAGTGATACTGTTTTGAAAAAATGTTTGCGAGAAGTTCATTAAGTACATGGTTTCTCCATTTTTGATAATCAAATACCTATACAAGTACCAAGCAAAACTTGTAATCAACGTGAAATAACGGAGCGTTTTATGTATTTGATGATCTCATATTATAATAGACCTAGTATTAAAATCTGGTTACTAGTTTATCAGCAACAAACAATCATTCCAAAATAGTGGCTCCTAAGCTTACCAACATGGTCATAGATGTTTCTGAAATTTATATAGTTGTATTCACAGCTAGTGTTTTTTTATTATTAATGCAAAAATAAAATCTTGGTAATTTATTAACAATAGATAATAGAATTTGTCCCCAGTAAATTTATAATCCAAATGTAAGCATCCCAAACTGCAAAAAGGCACATCTAAACGTTTTTTTTTTTTAACTTGTCTTGTGAATTCTCATACACTTGTAATTGTACTGAAGGGCCTTTATAGATAATTTTGAGAACAAGAAGGGAAGTTAGTGATGCACATATCTTACAGAAGAAATAAACAACATACTTTTCAGTGTTCTGGATGTGTAAAATGGCTTGAGGTTGTCTTCAGAAAAAGTTTCAACCAAACAAGCAATGTGATTGCTTTAGAATTTACAGTAATTGAGAGAAAATGAGGTCAGTATAAAGAAGATGGTTAAAAGCCTGAGTTTTAATCTGTTACCCAGTAGGAAACTGTTAAAAGTAACATCACTTTAGAATGAACAGCTGTGCTGGCCACCCTTTAGATCTGACTGGGGAGCTGTGAACTTAAGAACTTTGCAGGGTTTAAAAAGGTAGCATTCTGAAACATGTGTATATGTTTATAATCAATTAAAGCAAAAGGAGACAGATTTTAATAATCATGTAAGGAAAGAATTTGTGTTTGACACAAATTTATTTCACTTGGACAGCTATGATAGGTCAGAGGCCATTAGAAGACCCCATGTGTCTGGAGCGGAGTGACAGTGAGGATGAGTCTGACATACAACTGCAGTGTTCGTGTTTAGAGTTCTCTGGCTTGTAACTTCTGTTTAAAGATCTTAGCTAAAATTGCCAGACTTATATTTTTTATAAACTTGTTTTGTCTTTCAAGCAGTTTTCTCTCTTAATGGAAGCTGAGTTTTACCAAGGTATTATAATATATGGGCACTCAGTAATATTTCCTCTTTGCTGTAGGTAAAAGTTCTGTCAAGAGGCTGACAGATAAGGTAAGCAATGGAGGGGAGATCTCTCTTTAAGATGGAAAATTAACTTTTATAAATTACTTAATTTATGAAAGATTTTAATATGTGTATTTAAAGGATATCGAAGATACACTAGCAGGAATCAAAAAAGCTGGTTGTGGATCAACTTTTTTTAGAGACCTCGGCGATAAAGGTAACTTTGGTTTGTTGTTAAAATTCCACTTGCATTTTATTTAACAGAGACATTATTAAGGAGTTAAGTTATGAGGTTTGCACCTATAAATTGGAGAATATATATTAGAGAATCTACAGAGACGATGTTATAACACTGTGTTCTTTAATAGATTTTTTAAAAATCATAATAAAGTACTCATTACATTGGAAGTAATTTTCACAAACTCTTAGAGCAACTACAGAAAAAGTATTTAAACATCAGTTTTATTAAACCTGGGGGAAGGATGAGGCAGAGCCTCTGAAGTACGAAGAGAAGGCCTCGGAGGGAACGTGGAGGCCTTGTCAGAGAACCAGCCCCAGCCGGAGCCAGGAAGGGTCCTCACTGAGAGTAGGCTGGGCTGTGGTCCTGGGGGGCGGTGAGGGCAGGTCTAGCGCTGGGGCGGGTCCTGGAGGCAGCACTTGGAGTAGGGCGTCTGGTGTGAGCAGGATGCCCTGGGGGCGGGGAGCCCTGGGGGATGGAAGCTGAGGGGGCCTTGCTCTGTGTTGAATGAAGGGACGGAGGCCTCTCTGGGTGTGTGGGGTTTTGCGGAGTGGGTGGGGGTGGGGAGGTGGTCTGCAGAACTCAGAGGAGGGTGGTCCTTCTTGGCGGAGGACCAACTCTCATTCCGTGAAGGGCGGGCCTTCCACTGCCCTTAGCTGAGGACCAGCTCTTAGGTGCATCAGGATTCAGCCGAAGGCGTTTCCTGAGAAGGGGGATTTCGGAGCATCCACAGCAGCGTTTGGGTGGAAGCAGGTTGTGCAGTGGGTTGAGTCAGAAAGGGGGAAGAAAGACCAGCTGCAGGCATATCAGCCGAGGACAAAGGCTGTTTGGCAAGTGGGTTGTGATTGTGAGGACAGCTGGGTGTGAGCCAGAGTAAGCGGACCTGACTTACTCCGAGGGTGAGAGGGAGGAATTCTGGGCCTGTCCTGAGAGCAGTGGGGTGTGGGTGGGGTGTTGTGAGAAAGCCCTCTGGGCGGAGGGAGCTGAGGGGCTTTAAAGGGAGGGGAGGACTAGGTGACGGTAGAAGAGGATGACAGCACTCACGTCAGAGTGGGAGAGGAGGTGCGCTGGGCAGTGGCTGGAGGCGAAGAAAACTCACTTCCTGCCATCCAAACGGGGGTGTCTTAAAAACAGCCAACAGTAAGGAATAGAATTGGCTGGTGACAAGGAAGGTAAGCAGAAACGCATGGTGGTGAGGAATGGGAAGGAGCGTGAACAGGCCCAGTGAGAACAACCACGACCTCGCCAAGTGCTGCCACTTCTCCAGGCGCCAGCGCCCTTACCCCAGGCTCTGTTGACCATTGGCTTCCCTGGTGGTGCAGACAGTGGTCTGCCCACAACGCAGGAGACCTGGGTTCAATCCCTGGATTGGGAATATCCTCTGAAGAAGGGAATGGCCACCCACTCCAGCATTCTTGCCTGGAGAATTCCATGGACAGAGGAGCCTGGCATGCTACAGTCTGGGGGGTCACAAAGAGACAGACATGACTGAGCTACTTTCACTCCTGGGCACTAGTGCTTCTCACCCCTCTCATTGGAACTCAGAAACAGCCTTGAGCTCTTTCTCTTTGTCCTCCCATCCTTCATGGGCAAACAGACCCCTTTCTAATTTTGCCTCCTAAATATTGATTAAATTCGTCCTCTCCTCTCCCACCTCTTAGAGAAACTAACAGGAAACAGAACAAGAAAATGTGAGAGAAGGACTTTAACCAGTTTTTTTGTTGTTGTTTTTCTCTGAAATACATGAGTTGAAATGCACATTCCAACTTAAAGCACTGAACATTTTATAGGAAAGATTCAACAGATACACTTTTTTCCAGATATACCCCTTTGTTGATATGAATGAAGTCATTTGAAAATCAGAATGTAAAATCTAGCTACATTTGGAGCAATTTGAAATATTCTATTTTACCACCTAAAAAAACTTATCAAAATGCTTATTATACTGTAACTAGCAAAAGATAATGTACTTTTGCTAGTATACTACAGTTTTTTGAGGTAAGAAAATAGTCCACCTCCAGGCATTATTATAAAGAAAAGTATAAGTTAAATTATGTATTTTTTTAAATTGAGAATTCTTAATATAATGCCATCCTCAGGAATATACTGAATATAAATTATAAGGTATATTGTAAGATACGAATTTGTTCCTATGATTTACGTAGTAATTTCTCTTTGGGGAACAGAGTTCTCAAAATTGCTTTCAGTAGCAGGTCGTATTTTTCAATGATTCCAAATTTAAAATATTTGTAGAGGGTCATAGTAACTAATAGAACTTAATCACCTCTTGAGACTAGTGGCCCTTAAAGATTCTTTAATAAATTTTTTAATGTAAATTATTTAAAATTTCTATTTGACGTGCAGTTTTGAAACATTGCCATTTAACAGCATTTATTTTACCATTCAGTATAACAAACATATATTAAACAGTTTCTCCTATAAATATTCAGAAGTGTCAGTTTTCCTTAAAAGCATTTTCAGAGGCAGCTGCCTAGAATGCTGTTGGAGAGCTGTGTTGTCTATAATCTGTCTTGAGAGTGTAGGCTGCTGTTTTTACACTGTCTCAACTGTGTTTATTCAAGCATTTTATTTAAGTCAGTATTTCAAAGAAAGACTCTGGAAGTTTCTTTTTCGAAAAACCCCCTCCCCACCAAACACAGGACACATACCTGTGTCTCAAGAAAAGAAAGCCAAGGTTCCCCTTTGGCACCAAGCCCAGCTCAGTCCATCAGCCTGGTCATTTTTTCACATTGCTGTATTCCTTTGAAAATTAGAGAGAAAAAAAAACAACTGTTCACTTTTTTTGAGGCTGCCAAGGGATGAAATACTTTGATCCTTCAACTAAGATTAGAGCATTTCTCTCAGGTATGAGATATGACAAAACACATTTAATTTATTCTCCATTCATGTAAACACTGAATGTTTTTAGGGAAAAATACCTGGAGACTTACTGTGGGCTTTTTTATTAAAGGGAAGTACACCTGCTCCAGAATAAAAACATCAGAAAAGTTGGTGATGTAAAAACCTCTAAGTCATTAAGAGCATTTAAAATATATACCTGAAGTTGCCCATGAGCTGAAGCAGTGGACCGCCTAAGTGGTCAGACCCTCACCTAAGTGGTCAGACCCTCAGCCACCTTACTCTTCACGGCTCTCACCCCACGTCTCAGCTGTGCTCTCTGGAGCCCTCGGGGACAGTCTCCCTTCACAGCAGGATGTGCCGGACTGTCACTCTCACACCCCTCCCTTCCTCATCTCCAAGCCACCAGGCCGCCGCTGCACTTCCTGGGGACTCTTTGGCAGGCACACCCTCGCAGACAAGCCCTCGCTTCTCCTGGCTCACTTCAGCTGTATCTCCCCTGTGCACACGCCTCCGCTTCCCCCACCCCAGCATCACTGCAGGTCTACCCGTCGTTCAAAGGCCACCGTTAGAACTGCTTTCTCTGTGACTCTCCCATCATCTCAGCTCTGGAAGCTTCACCTTTTGTTTAAACCCTGTAAAACTCTTAACTGTCTGTGTCTCTTGGTGGCTTTTAGTATTTCCTGTAAACATTTGCCTTCTGGCCTCTTGGTGAAAGTACATAGCACTATATAGTAAGAATTTCTGCTAAACTTGAATCTCAGCTCAGCTCTGGATCTGAATACCAGTTTGTCAAGAATACAGACGTTAGAGGAACATGTGAAATGACAGCAAAAAGATGCAGTTCACAAAGTCTTCAAAACACTTAAACTTTACAGGACAAAGGACCAGGCTTCTTCAACAGTTAAGCTGAAACTGAAGGGGATAAAAGGTGAGGGAGAACCTATAGATGAAAATCAAGTTACGGCTATAGAGATTAGTTTCTTCATTTTAAAGATACAGTTTTACTTTTGGTGTATTGAAATCGCTGGCTTTCTCCTGAATTTGTGAATTTGCTTCACTTGAAATGCTATTAATAGTAAAATTAAAGTAGAAATTACACAAATTGACATGCAGATGAAACCTCCAGTGGACACATTCACCTGTTGGCCAGCGACCATTCCCCTCCTTCCTAGTAACAGTGTCCTAATAAACCTGTCTCCTTCTTTTTAAGCGTTAGTACTGCATTTAACTCTCTTACGAAAACTTTCCACTGTAAGAAAGAGAGGTAGTTTAAAGTAAAAATGTGTGTGTGTTTTGATTGGGTGGAGGATCCAAGAAGCATGTGTTTGGTTACTGATGATGCTGTGAAAGTGCTCCACTCAATATGCCAGCAAATTTGGAAAGCTCAGCAGTGGGCACAGGACTGGAAAAGGTCAGTTTTCATTCCAATCCCAAAGAAAGGCAATCCCCAAAAATGCTCAAACTACCGCACAATTGCACTCATCTCACACACTAGTAAAGTAATGCACAAAATTCTCCAAGCCAGGCTTCAGCGTACGTGAACCATGAACTTCCAGATGTTCAAGCTGGTTTTAGAAAAGGCAGAGGAACCAGAGATCAAACTGCCAACATTTGTTGGATCATAGAGAAAGCAAGAGAGTTCCAGAAAAACATCTGCTTTATTGACTAGGCCAAAGCCTTTGAAACTGTGTGGATCACAATAAACTGTGGAAAATTCTTAAAGAGATGGGAATACCAGACCACCTGACCTGCCTCTTGAGAAACCTGTATGCAGGTCAGGAAGCAACAGTTAGAACTGGACATGAACCAATAGACTGGTTCCAAACAGGAAAAGGAGTACATCAAGGCTGTATATTGTCACCCTGCTTATTTAACATATGCAGGGTACATCATGAGAAAGGCTGGGCTGGAAGAAGCACAAGCTGGAATCAAGATTGCCGGGAGAAATATCAATAACCTTAGATATGCAGATGACACCACCCTTATGGCAGAAAGTGAAGAGAAACTAAAAAGCCTCTTGATGAAAGAGGAGAGTGAAAAAGTTGGCTTAAAGCTCAACATTCAGAAAACTAAGATCATGACATCTAGTCCCATCACTTCATGGCAAATAGATGGGGAAACAGTGGAAGCAGTGTCAGACTTTATTTTTTGGGGGCTCCAAAATCACTGCAGATGGTGATTGCAGCCATGAAATTAAAAGATGCTTACTCCTTGGAAGGAAAGTTATGACCAACCTAGATAGCGTATTAAAAAGCAGAGACATTACTTTGCCAAAAAAGGTCCGTCTAGTCAAGGCTATGGTTTTTCCAGTGGTTATGTATGGATGTGAGAGTTGGACTGTGAGGAAATCTGAGCACTGAAGAATTGATGCTTTTGAACTGTGGTGTTGGAGAAGACTCTTGAGAGTCCCTTGGACTGCAAGGAGATCCAGCCAGTCCATCCTAAAGGAGATTAGTCCTGGGTGTTCATTGGAAGCACTGATGTTGAAGCTGAAACTCCAATACTCTGGCCCCCTCATGCGAAGAGCTGGCTCATTGGAAAAGACCCTGATGCTGGGAGGGATTGGGGGCAGGAGGAGAAGGGGATGACAGAGGATGAGATGGCTGGATGGCATCACTGACTTGATGAACATGAGTTTGAGTAAACTCCGGGAGTTGGTGCTGGACGGGGAGGCCTGGTGTGCTGCGACTCATGCAGTTGCAAAGAGTCAGACACGACTGAGCGACTGAACTGAATTGAAACGATCTAAAGCTGATTATCTGATGTTGGTGTTTTCTCCCTTTCAGGGCTGATCTCCTACACTGAGTATCTCTTCCTGCTCACGATTCTCACCAGTAAGTGCCCCACAGTTTTGCTTACTGATCATGTGAATCCTCTCTCCCGGTGTGGGAGGTTTGGATTCACCTTTCTATCATTAAGGGTGTGGCTGGTGCTGCAGTTTCTGTGCCTGCAAGGCAGCCCTGCTGGGAGGTTATCCCCCCACTGCTGTCTCAGAGTCAGATGCAGCCTTCTTGAAGGAATATGAATGCCTCCTCTGACATTCTACAGAATCCCTGACCAGTAACTCTCCTCTAAGTGCCAACGTCATGAAAATCAAGGAAAGATTAGGAAACTTTCTGAGCTCAGAGGCGATAAGGGGACGTAGCAGCTAAATGCAACAGGCTTTCTTGTGTTTGATCCTAGAATAGAAAAAACATGAAATCCAAATAAAGTCTGTAGTTTAGTTTAAAAATGCTACACCAACGTGAATTTCTTAGTTTTCACAAATATCCTGTGGTTACATAAGATGCTAACTTTAGAGGAAGCTGCGTGAAGGGCCCCTGAGAGCTCCCTGGACCAGCTTTGCAGTATTTCTCTAAGTCTAAAGTTATTTCAAAATAGTTTTTGCAAAACCCTACTCTTGAGAAAGGGAAATAGAGTAGTAATCTAGATGTGGGTTTGATCCTGGCTTAGTAAGATCCCCTGGAGGAGGAAATGGCAACCCACTCCAGCCTTTAGAATCCCATGGACAGAGGAGCCTGGTGGGCTACAGTCCACAGGGTCGCAAACAGTCAGACAATACTGAGCACATGGCACAAATGACAATCAGTGTGAAAATAGCCAAAGTTTGTAAGGACATAGGAAGGCCTCTAGCAGAGCTGAAGAAATAAATGAAGTTCTCAATTGGATTTTGCTTTTGAAGGGCAGAACACTTAACAGAACAGCGCACCATGGACACGTACCAGCCTTTGAGAATTGTCATCTATCCTGAGAAGGAATTGTTGTTTACTTTAGGTGCTTGCTTGTGTTGTTTCTGGTGGCTTGTTTCAAGTTTGAGGACCTGTAGATCTTCATACACTTGCATTCCACCAACATGTATGTAATGACGTGCTCACTTTAGTAGCACATACACCAACATTTATATGATGATTCATTTTTCATTTGCAGAACCCCATTCTGGGTTTCATGTTGCATTTAAAATGCTGGATGCAGATGGTGACGAGATGGTTGAGAAAAAGGAATTTTTTAAGGTAAGTAGATTCTAGTTATTTTTGGTTTATCATAAAACACCTGAAGGCTTGCGTGGTAATTCTACATTTCTATTAAGATGAAATATATCCACTGCCAACATATGAAGTGTCAAAAAATTATACATACATTCAAAAATATTAAAATTTCTGTAATACAGCCTTGAGGAAACAGTTACAGAACAGGGATAAGATTCTGGCAGGGGAAGTGAACTGAAGTGTCTGCATTTTGTAGACTTTTATTTTTATGATTTCAGCAAATGATAATACAACAGAAAGGGCTTCATAGATAAGTAAAAAATTGGTGTTACATCCCACCAAAAAAACAGAGTAAGAAAAATAAAACTTGAAGCCTTCATGAAGAATATGAGGGAACAGTAGGTATAAATTGGTGCAAATTTTCTAGGAATTTGTGCAGGCTCATAATTGAAAAGCTGAAAATATGCTTACATGATGTTTCTCAAGACATAACTCTGTAACATGGCAGCAGGAAATCTCACTCCACTCCAAGGAAGTTGGCAGTAACGTTCAGAAGTGCGTCAGTGCATGTAAACAGTGGGGAGTGTGCCAGGCAGAGCTCGGTTTTCTTCATCTAGAGGAGCACTTTATGGAGAAAATACCTCCGCTCTTTGGTCTGTTCTTTTCTTCCAATGTACTAGGAAGAGAGAGAACAAAGCTTGTTGAAATTATATATAAAAGTGGAGTCTGCCTATGTATAGAACAGACTTGTGGACTCTGGGAGAAGGCGAGGGTGGGATGTTTCAAGAGAACAGCATTGAAACACGTATATTAACTAGGGTGAAACAGTTCACCAGCCCAGGTTGGGTGCATGAGACAAGTGCTCGGGCCTGGTGCACTGGGAAGACCCAGAGGGATTGGGTGGAGAGGGAGGTGGGAGGGGGGACCGGGATGGGGAATACATGTAAAAAAAAAAAAAAAAAAAAGATACACTATGGTTGTGATAAAAAAATAAATAAAAAAAATAAATAAAAAATAAAAATAAAAATTAAAAAAAAAAGTGGAGTCTGTACTTACACCATTCAGTTAAGTAGCACGTGGGACTGTTAAACCCTTGAAATAATAACTGTGACTAAGAAAACTGAGTTTCTAAGTTTTAGTTCATTTAAAACTTACACTGAAAAACTGACATTCACTTCAGGTATTAGCAGATTCTCAACTATGTTTGAAACAGCTTGAGTATGTGAATCTACTTTTAAATTTTTACCTTTATTTACTTTTTATTTGCTTTTTTATGAAACCTAAATGCAGATCAAGTACAGGTACACCCTGGAGAAATTGTGGGTTTTGGTGCCAGACCATCTCAGTAAAATAAAGCAAGTCACACAAATGTTTCAGTTTTTTAGGGAAGGTGGAAATTATACTATGGTCTATTAAGTGTGTAATAGCATTATATCTCCAAAAAAAGCAATGCAACATGCCTTAAACATATTTTATTGTTAATAAATGCTAACTATCATCTGACAATGCAGGATTGCCACAAATCTTCAATTTGTAAAAAAACACAAAATCAACAAAGCACAATAAAATAAGGTGTGCCTGTATTTCCAATGAGTATATTACCTGAATGTCTTGTAGTGTAAAATACACACTGGATTTTGAAGAAAAAAGAAAGGAATGTAAAGTACCTTGATTTTTATATGGAATGTGTGATAAAGTCATAATTCTGAGATATTAATTTCACCTGTTTTTCTTTGTATTTTTGCTGCACTTTAATGAAAATTTACCACAGATGATAAATTGTCTTTTATATACAAGAATAATAACAGTTTCAATCATTGGCTTCACTCTGAGGAAAAGGCTTTGGTTCTAAATGGATGTTACTTACTTTAAGTATCTGTTATGTTGGTATCTTTATTTTTTCAAATAATTCCCCCAGTTAATAGACTTTTTAAAATAACTGAGCAGCTACTGACACTGGCTGCATTTGTGACTGAAACACAGAGCCGTTCACCTGCGGCTTCACTGCCTGCTCACTCACACGTTCATGGCATTCACTTTATTCACCTACTGTACACCCTCTCCCAGATGGTTTCTAAAGATGTTAAATATTTGTAAACCTAATTTTTATAGGATCCCAACTGATTTATCAATGCATTCCCTGCTTAAGATCTTTCTTGCTATATCCTTTGTTTCTAATCTTTGAGAGTTTCTTACACATAAAATCAATTAGTTTAGTAAATTTGTGAAGCCTGTGGATAGGCTCTTATCACAGGGATTTCCTGAGGGATCCTGTTTGCACCGGTTTGAAGCATCCAGCTGCTTGTGTCACCATATCCCATCTTGAGCACACTCACCTTGAAAGCTTTTCAGGTACTTTTTTTTCCCAAGTACTTTTTTTTAACATAATAGTTCAACACTCTAAATTTACAGAACCACTTTCTGAACACTACATTTTTTTCTTAGATGTTTGGGAAATTCTTAGCATTTCCATGAATTAAGAAAACAAGAAAAAGAATTATGTTAGAATACATCACTGGTTTGGGTTTTTTTTTTTTTTTTTTTCAGTTTATAAAGCTCAACCTTCTAAGCCCATAAAAGGTTCTTTGTGCTGATCTCAGGAATGAAACACTAAACTTGATAACCCATGGAGCATGATAGTTTGTTGACTTAACAGTGTAGAGGAGAAAAAACCATGCTTACATTAATTATTTGAATAATTATTTCATTTCCATGATCATTGTATTAGGAAGCCTAGGTATATAGCATCTTCTGCTTGAAATTTTATTGAAAGAACTAACAACTCTTTCCAGGTCAGTAAAGCAGAGTTTAAAAGGCAGGATTTTGTGTGTTTGTTCCTTTTTCCAACTTACCTGAATGTTTCTCCCGTGAATTTTACTTGTTGCTCTTCCCACCATAAGTGCTAGAAAAGTAATGAAAATTACTTTAATACCCTAAACGTAAATATTAATAGACTGACTTGGAACAGCAGATGGAAAGTAATAGATTCATATAAAATTTGTGAAAATGTCCCAAAATATAAAATTCTTAGTTTATGACTTGTGTGATGTGGTACACCCCTATCTTATTACCATCCTGATCTCCTGGCTGTGTTGGTTGGTATATTGTTCACACCTTCATCCCAAGAGTGAGTAAAATAGCCACTCTGTGTATAAGCCAGTATAGCCAGTATCCACTCTGTCAGATAGTAACAAACACCACCACCAGTGATCAAAGCTGGTAATAGTAAAGCAATTTAGTCTTTTGCCTTGATAGATGGTGCATCTGCTTATTGGGATAAGTGCCAGGATTTTAGTGCAGTTTCTTTAAACAATAGGTTGATGACAAGTCTGTTTACTAGTGTGAATTTCTCCTTAGAGTGGTCCTCTGACTTCACATTTCTCCCACACTGGTGGGAAGGGCTGTTCTTCTAATGCAGTGAGGTTATCATTTTAGAATGCTACATATTCCTGCTCAAGATATTATTAAATGCAAAGACATTCAGTGGAAGTCACTCTTTTTGATTCTGGAATAGTGTTCATATTCCAGAATTTAAATTCTCATGATCCATCCTGAAAGCAAAAATAAGTTAAATTGACCTATGTGTTACACTTTTCTTCATTTTCAGCCTGAAATTGAAAATATAGATCAGTATGAAGTTGGTCATTTTGGCTGTATTTTCTTAGACATTCAGAATTTGTGTTTGAATGTGTCCTCCTGGCTTTTTTCACCACTAATGTTAAAAAAAAAAAAGTACTTTTTTTTTGTTTGTCTAACAAAGCACCTCTGTTTCTACCAGAAACTGTTCTTCCTCTGCCTAGAGGGCCTTGCCCCATTCCTTTCATAGCTAGTTACTCAGAGCTCCACCCAGATGTCATATCCTCACAGAGAACTCTGCAGAAGAAGCCAGTCTGAACAGAAGCTCCTGCCCAGTATTTCTGAGTCCTGTTACCCTACTTCATTTTTCTGGTCACAGCACTTGACACTGTCTGAAATTCTCCTGTTTGTTCATTTGCTTGTTGGTTACCTCTGGCCCATTAGAACTTAATTAAGCTCAGTGAGAACAGGGACACTCTCTGTCCATGACCACTGTATTTCAGCACTTAGAACAGTCGTTTGAGCAGCACCTAATCCTCTGCAGTCATGACCCACATCAAGAACAAATCCGATGACTCTCTCCACTTGACTTTTAAGACACTTCAGAGCTACAGTGACACCGACACTATGACATCGCCCAAAGGATGGACAGGTTGACAGTGGAGGGTAGAGTCCACACTTACATGATCCCTTGATTTTCAGTATAGACACCAGATCAGTTAATGGGAAAAGCAAAGTATTTTCAACAGATGACAGTAGAACAAATGGATAGGATATATACATGGAAAAATTAGCCACAACCCCTCCCTCACACCATACACAAACATTTATTTGAGATACACATGTAAACATGAAAACTGAAACCAGAAGCTTCTGGGAAAGCTCATAAGAGTATCTTCAGGATGTGGGGTAGGGCAAGGAGTGGGGTGGGTGGGGCAGGGAGTGGGTAGGAGAAGTGCATCTGAACCAGGAATGACTGGATGCAGCTAACTGTGGAGACTGTATAATGCATGTATGTTGGGTTGTTACAGGAGTCTCTGCTGTGTCTGAAATTCTCCATGAAAAAGTGAAAGTTGTTCAGTTGTGTCTGACTCTTCGTTACCCCATAGACTATACAGTCCATGGGATTCCCCAGGCCAGAATACTGGAGTGGGTAGCCTTTCCCTTCTCCAGGGGATGTTCCCAACCCAGGGATTGAACCCAGGTCTCCCACATTGCAGGAAGATTCTTTACCAGCAGAGCCACAAGGGAAGCCCAAGAATACTGGAGTGGGTCTTCTCCAGGGGATCTTCCCAACCCAGAAATCGAAACGGGGTCTCCTGCCTTGCAGGTAGATTCTTTACCAACTGAGCTATCAGAGAGGCCATAATAAAAACCTTAGGAGGTGTGGAAGAAAAAGCAAGAAATGTTTGGGTATTGAACTTGGCAGTATGTCAGTTGTCAATTTAAAAACAAAGGATAAAACAAGTTTTTCAGCTTTATTCCCTGAAATAAGTGGGGGGCAGGGGGAGAATGTTGCAAAGTTTGAGGGCTTTAGAGAACTAGAGATACACCATTTGCCTAAATCAAATCTCATAGAAGCAGCTGCATTTGAGATAATTTGCAATTTAGTGGCAGCATTTTTCAAACTACTAACAAAGAAATAGCCTAGGGAAAAATGGGCAAAGGTTTGTCTCCTAATTGATTTGGATCCATAGTATGAGATTTTGTCTACATTTAATTAAACAAACCAAAAAAAATCTTCTTTTTTTTTAAATTTGCTTTCCATGTGAGGATTGGTACAAATGATTCTGAAAGGTAGGTAGGTTTTTTTAAAATGTATTCAGTCTGAAGGTACTATTGATAGTTTTATAATTACTAGAAAGATGTAGGCCCTTAAATTGTTTTAATGCTTTATAAATGCATTAAGAGAAAAGGGAAGAACATTTATAGGATATGAATAGCTTTTTTAAGAGCTGGGTACTTGAAATATGTCCATGAAGCATCAGAGATAGAAAAAGAAGAGAGGAGATAGGAAAAAGAGGAGATAGAGAAGAGAATAAAAATTCTCATGGAGATAAGGATAATCGTGTTTTTATACCTTAACGTGACGCTTTTAGACTGTGTATTTATTAAGTGAGCCAGCTTTCTTAGGAAAAAAGATGATCCAAATTGTAATAAATGTAATAATATTAATAGTTGCATATCCATTTTCATCTTTGATTCTTGAGAAAAACTATTAGGAGTCATAAGGCAAAAATAATTTATTATTTAACAAATAACTAGTATACATTTTATAATAGAAACTTAGCATGTGTCTTTTAGGTTGTTTTTAAAAATCCAGTAGACCTGCACCTGAATTCCTGTTTGCCCTCTTCCTAGCTGCAGAAGATCATAAGTAAACAGGATGACTTGAAGACAGCAATAACCAGTGAAACGGAATGCCAGGTATTTGCAAATAAATTGAGTATTTCCAAGCAGATGTTGTTAGAGTAGCTTCTCCATCCCATTTTTTCAAATAAGGATTCCCAGATAGTTGGGGAAATTACCAGTAACTTGATTTTTCTAAGTATTTTAAATAGATTTGCCATATTCACATGATCCAGAGCTCAGAAGAGTCACCCAGAGTATGTGTGCAGGGCAGACCCCTCTTCCAGTGACCCTGGTCTATGTCCCCACTTCAGGCTCTTCTCAACACCTGCCGCCACTTCCCCTGGGCCAACCCTGGGGAAGGACACCTAGCGACCTGCATTGTGTGATCTCTGCCATGGGGACAGCACACCCTGGGCTGGAAGACAGGCCCAGGGCTTGGCTGGCTGACCAGCTCTCTGCGTGGCGGAGCATTAGTGAACTTGTCCTTGTGCCCACCCTGTCTGAACCCAGTTACCTTTCTGGCTCTGAGCTGCAGGTGTGGGGCTGTGACCCCTGTCCCTGCAGTGCTCGCTGGAGGACGCAATGCACTCGCTCTCCTGGGTTCCCATTTAAGGCCCTGGACCACAGCCCCATGTACCCTCCAAGCACATTTTTCTCTCTGGGTCCTAACTATCCCTCAGCTGAATGGTGCTCGAAGACGTGAAGTCACGGGAGCTGGCCCACCCACGCCAGCTGCCTGCCCCTTTATAGGCCAGGTTCTCACGAGTTCTCCCACTCCCACACAACAGTCACCTGCCTGCCACTGATTCTGGGCGGTGGGGGCAGGATTGAGGAACACCTGTATCCAGCCTGTCTTTCTCTAGCTGTTTTTTTTCAGATGATTTGGTTTAAATGTGTACCCCCTTTGTTGTTTAGTTGCTGCTGATCATCTTTTCAGCCATTCTGATTTTTTATTTTTTTGTTTGTTTTATTGACACTGTGAAGGAGGAAGAGTCTCTGAACCTGCTTCTTGCTGTCTTGAATGAACTCCTCACCGGGGACCTTGTAATTAGGAAAAGCTAGTGTTTTTCAGATTTCTAGCATTCAGCAAAAGGTTCTAGACTTCCCTGCTTTAATTCTCCCAGTCCTGCTTCATTAGAAAGTGCCCAGGGGGCACGTTTTGAAATAACTAATACTGCTGTAAGCTCTCTTGTTGGCCTGATCCAGAGTTTGTTCTCTGCGGAGACCTCCTGAGTCCTCAATGTTTAGCAGTGGGTGTTCGCCTCCTCTTGAGCACAGGTGATACAGAACAGTGTTATGTGGAGTGAGGGGCAGAAGGGTTGCATCTGTTTTATTCACTTTGTTGTTGTTATTGTTGTTACAGAAATATTTTATAGGTATTGTCCTAGGAATTGTCCAGGTCCCAGGATCCATTTATGTTCTTGGTTATAATTTACTTCAAATTCTATCATTTTTTATAGGAACAAACAGTGCAAGAACCTGAAATTGACACAACACTTCAGATACGTTTCTTTGGAAAAAGAGGAGAAAGGAAACTTCATTACAAAGAATTTCGAAGGTAAATGCAAATATTTATGTTCATTTAGGGGAATTTTATAGCTAAGAAGTAAAGAAACAACTGAATACATGTATTTATGTACCAGAACTGCATACCATAAGACCAGATACTGTGTGTGGGTCTCTATAGTATCTCTGAGAGCAGAACCTATGAAGTGTAAACTAAAGTTACTATGCTCAAAAGACGTCAGTTAACCAGATAGAAATGGTTTGCGCAGAGAGGGACTGAAGGACAGAGAACAGCAAGGAAGGACACGGAGACATGAGAACATGTGCCTTGTGCAGGAATCAGAGAGCCTAGGTCTGGGAGAAATAAAAGGGAAGGGTGGAGGTGAGGGCGGAGGCCCTGGGGCCTAGGGCTTGAGTTACGCCCATGAGGGAGGCCCTGAAGGGGGCCCGTGGAAGGTGCTGGTCAGATGGGCTTACTCTGGCAGGACAGGGGTAACAGCAAAGGAGGGATCCTGTGAGAGACAAGACACAGTTAGGAGATAAAATCACTGGGTTTGGTGATTGTTTAAAGGGAATAATTTCACTTAGAATTCTTTAAACTTTTTGAATTAGAGTTTCTGTAAGTAGTGGGCCCTGTGAAATTTGTTATACCATTATGCAATTTTTTAAAAAAATGCAATAAACAGAGAATGAAATGCAGTTTTTCAGGAACTTGTCTGTTGGATGGAGTAGGGTACCCTAAAGTTAAAATTACAGGTATACTGAGCTAGAATTCAGTAATCTTTAAAATTTAAGCCTTTAAAATTTTTCATAAGTTGTAAAGTAATAACAGAAAATAGCTCCCATATATGTTTTATATATATATGTGTGTGTAATATATTATAAACATATAATTTTGTAACTGCCCAAATTAATCCTAGAAATTCCACAAGAAGCTCTTTCAATGTGTGTGTGGAGCTTTTAGTTTTGTTTCAATAGGACTGTGATGTTTCTATGAAAATCTTCCTTAGAAAGATGTTGCCTTTTCTGCCCTTTGTCTCAGCCTCCTCCTTACAGCCTGTCTGATGAAGGATACTGTTTCATAAAGACATACAGCTTGTACATCTCCAGGAAAGACAAGGAAGGTGACACCAAGAGACACTGTTGCGGAAGCTAATTACAGTACTGGTGTAGATATTAGTGTTCTCATTTAAAGAAACAGTATTGTAGTTTGAAAAAGTATCTGTGATTTAGACAAACCTGGGTTCCAATGCTGAATTTGACAGTTTGCTAAGTGTGATCTGACGAACAAACGGTTGGAGACCTGCCGTATATTGAACCTCGTGGGATACTGCTCAGGGTGCCCACGCTCCTGAGTGGGCGGGCGCACGCTTAGTTACAGCACTAAGGTGAAGCCACAAATCCTGACGTCCATCTCGTATTCCAACATTTAGGTTTATGGAAAACTTACAGGCGGAAGTCCAAGAAATGGAGTTCCTTCAGTTCTCTAAAGGTTTGAGTTTCATGAGAAAAGAAGACTTTGCAGAATGGCTCCTTTTTTTCACTAACACTGAAAATAAAGATGTTTATTGGAAAAATGTGAGAGAGAAGCTGTCAGCAGGAGAGGTTGGTGTGCCTTTTTATAGTGCTTGTGATGAAGATGAAATGATAAGTTAGACATACTGGTAGAATTCAGTAAAGTAGCTTCCAAACTAATCAAGACTGAGCAACTCTCTGTTATGTAATTATATGATGCATGAAATGATGACTGCTAAACTGCTAGTAATGAATAATGAACAGTGGTAAGATTTCAAGTGATTTTTTTAATATTTATTTTTATTTATTTATTTGGCTGTGCCAGGTCTTAGTTGCTGCATATGGAATCTTTAGTTGCAGCATGTGGAACTTAGTTCCCAGACCAGGGGTCAAACCCAGGCTCCCTGCAATGGGAACATGGAATCTTAGCTACTGGATCACCAGGGACCCTCAAGTGATTTTTTTTTTAACTTATTCCAAAAAAATTTTTTTTGACATGGGGATGTGTTTTTTATATAATTTTTTTAAAGCTATCTCTGTGATGAGGGAAAATATAATGAAATATAATAAAGGTCTCATTTATAATTACAATAGAGATATATAACAATTAGAAATATATTTAACAAGAAACATATAGAAAAACCTTTCAAACTTGGATAGAAGTAACTCATCTAACAGTAGAGACATCCCCTCCTTTTGAACAGAACCTCTTAGTATTACGGACATGGCAGTTGTCCCTTAAATAACCCCTAAGTACAGTGTCAGGTTAACCTGCACGGCCTTGGTTTGCTGCACCAACACATCAGCCCTGGACACCCTGCAGCCGACACAGGAGAGCGACCTCCTCAGTCATGCTGCTCATCTGTGGTGGGCTGAGGGTAGGAGAACTACCCACATCCTTGCTCGGGGACCAGACTCTCCAAGGCTCTGCCCCCAAGGAGTACCACTATCTGCCAGAAACCATCCAGAAAAGAAAAGAGTGAACCACGTTCCAGCAAATAAATGTTTAGGCCTGGAGATGTCACACTGAGCTACTGGCTGGACTGATGGCCTGAAAGCCTAGTAACTGAAGGGAGGCAGAGCTGTGTGGTCCTGAGTGCGCAGGGCTCAGGGGAGCACCAGGTACCGTGACCACCAACCGACATCCATAAAACAGTCTCGGATTCTTGGCAGGGAGCCAGACAAGATACAAGTCTGTGACACTGCTCAGGGGGCTAAGGGATAGAGAAACCTCTGCACCATCCCTATAATTTTGCTGTGAACCCAAAACTGCTCTGAAAAAAATTTAAGTCTTTTTAAAAAAGAAAGCTGAGCTATTAAAATACAGTACCAAACATCAGAACTAAAACAGTGTGACTGACAATGAATTTGACAAATCAGTTGAACAGAAGATAAAGTCAGAGACAGATAGAAATACAGAAATTTAGTATGTGTAAACTCAGATTATAAATCGGTTGCATAAAAAAACTGAATAAATGGAACTGGGGTAATTCACTGGGTATCTGAGGGAGAAAATGAAGGTAACCTCTGCCTCACTCATGACTCAGAAATAAACCTGAGGTGGATCAAAGAACTAAAGTTAAAGAGAAAACTGAGTAAGTATGGAAGAAAACTTGGAAACAATCTCTGAGAGTGGGTATATGTACTAAGTAAAACCCAAAAGCCTTCTGTTGAATTGATTAAATTACTGCATAAAATATAGAAATCTGCCTTCCTCACTCCCCCCCAAATTATCAAAATCAAAAGGAAAAATTAACAAAATGAGGGAATTACTGGCATCACAAGTAATAGACCAATTTCTTTAATTTTTATAATGAGATCTTTAAAAATCAAGACCGCGGAAGGGGCTGACATTCTACCGTATTTAATTTAGAAAATGGGATCTCAGATATCAGCGTGTTAATTACTAATGGGGCCGAGATTGTGTCTCTTTGCAAGTTAGCCTATGTCACTTCCAACAGAAGATTCAAACCTGCCAGGTCAGAGCCAGAGAAGGTTATTGTCTGTAGTGTGGAGGCCGCCCAGGCACCACGTCTGTCTCCCAGGGCCCACGAGGTGGGTTTGCACCACAGCCGAGGAGCTTGGACCCTTCATAAGGGACAGTAGGTGCGGTTGCCCTTGCTCTGAGGGAGACAACTCTGTCTGCTCCAGGCTGTTCACTGTGCAGACATCCTGGAAAGACCCTGGAGTAGAACAGTGGCTGGGCCTCTGCCTACGAGATGTGAGAAGCTCGGAAGACCCACGGAGAATTGCCCCCAGCATCAGGTCACCTGGCAGCCCCTCAGACACTGGAGCAGAGCACAGCAGGGACATGAGAAATCCACAAGTACCCAATGAACATAGATGTGCAGAGTGTTTAATTCACTCAGGACCTTTGAGGGGAGACAGCCTGTGACACACACCCCCAGCCTTGCACTCAAATGTTCACACCATGTTCAGTCTGCACAGGCACATCCAGGGCCCTGCACTTAATCTCTGAGGGTTCCTCTTAATCTCTAAAATCTACACATTTGTGCTCAGTTGGGTCCATCCCAGACTTCGAAAGTGTACATTCATAGACTTCATGATAGAAAAGAGGACTCACGGTTATATTCATAACGTTGTTGAATAAATTTACAAAATTGTAATAAAAATTCACTGTTGTTCTTTTAGAGCATTAGTTTGGAAGAGTTCAAGTCATTTTGTCATTTTGCAACCCACCTGGAAGACTTCGCTATTGCCATGCAGATGTTTAGTTTAGCTCATCGTCCTGTCAGACTAGGTAAGTTATGTGACTCACTTAATTTTTACTATGTATGAACACTGTCACCCTGTTCTTTAACTGATTGATAGCAGTCCAGGGACCACATAACAGAAAAACAATTGATTGGCCTTTCAGTTAATCCAGTGTGGTTATTCTAGATTTACAACCATTTGCCAAACAATTTATTAACAGTTAATTTTGCTTTTACTTTCTTATTTTTCTCCCTGAGAAGGAGAAGGAAGTATTTAAATGTATATTCAAAACACTGATTAGATTAAAATAGCCTGCTGACGTTTCTCAGCCAGATTTATTATTTGAACACATTCTTGATGAGTATTTGTGTTGTTTTACTTCCCAAGTGATAAATATATAGAGTTGTTTTTACTTCTCAAATAATAAAAATTTAGACTTAAGACTATATTATGCAGTTGATGAGTTTTTATATTTTCTCCCTTCAGCGGAGTTCAAGAGAGCAGTCAAAGTAGCAACAGGACAGGAGCTGTCCAACAACATTCTGGACACCGTCTTCAAGATCTTTGATTTAGATGGTGATGAGTGTCTGAGTCATGAAGAGTTTCTTGGGGTGTTAAAAAACAGGATGCATCGAGGTTTATGGGTAACAGATTTTGAGTCTTTAAATTGCATGTTTATATGTAGTTAAATGAATGGAACTAAACCTAGAATTTGATCTAATGTACAGTCTTAAATGGGAGTTTTCAACATTTTTAAAGAGCTTATAAGCAGTAATTACAACAAAAGTATCTCCTACAGATGGGATCCACCATTTTTCTTTTTAAAAAAATCTGAATCAGGAACCACGATTCCAAATTTTAATTTGGATGTTGTAGTTAGATACCAAGACCAAGCTCTAGCCCTATCGTGTATTAATTAGCAGATCTTGCAAAGCTGCTTAATTTTTCTGACCCTCAGATTCCTCATCTGTACGACAAGGAACCAATACAATCTACTGGAGAGAATTATTATAATACTTAATGTAGTGACTGAAACACTTGAAGTAAGTGTCCACTATTAACATGATTCACTCAGATTCACATATTAGTCTATAACTGAGGGACAGATCAAACTTAGAATTTTGTTTAGATTTGAATCTGCTAGAAACACTCATGAAAGCAGGTTGAAACATCGGCAAGTTGAAGACAAGGGTCCAGGGGTAAGTAGGAATTATCCCAGAGGAGGTAGGAGTGAGAACAGGAGAGACCGTAGTGAGCTTACATCAACAATGCTATTCGTTTACAACTGAGAAGAGCATATTGATCTTCCTGCTACAAACATTATTTATAGAAAATGAACAGATATGATTTCTACTAGTGATTTACAGGCAGCACCTCACAGTTAATAATCATACTCGTAGAAATTAAACCAGCCTTTCCAGTTAACATGTAACATACCCTGCAGCCTCTTTGCCATTTCTCAAAAACATACTGAAGAGAAGAGCTTCAAGTCAGTGAGCAGAAAAGGCCATAACTATAATCTGAAACGAACTGCTGCTTCCAGTGGTGGGTCTCCAGCAGTGCTGCGCTCTGTGGGCACAAAAAGCCAAGTGTTTTCTAACCTTTGCTTTCTCATTTAACTGAGATAAACAGTAACCACAAAGTACTTGTGTGAGTTATTTCTTCCTAAGGCTTCTCATCAAGTATATGGTGACCTGCGGTTTCTTTCTTTTTTGGTTTTAGTCAAGGTTAAGTCAAAGTTTTAGGTTTATCATTTTTATTCCACATAGCTAAATGAGGTTCATCAGAAAAAGAAACATTATAAAATATTATGAAAAGAAAACATGAAATAATTTCATTTTAAAATCAACATATGAAAGTCACCACAGTCATTATTCCCTTCTTGGGGAGGAAACTCTTCTCTGGTTCCCCTGAGGCCACCTTTGCCTCACCTCACATCTCACCTTTTCCCTTTGGCTTTCACCTGTGCTGCAGGCATTTTCTGTGTCATCACTTCCAGGCCTTTCTGGAGGTGGGTGGGGAACAGGCACCACAAGTACATGGAAACGATGGGGCTGAAGGTTGCAGACACTGACCCTGAGTTTTCGTTTTGGTTGACAGGTGCCACAGCAGCTCGGCATACAAGAATACTGGAAATGTGTGAAGAAAGAAAGCATTAAAGGAGTAAAAGAAGTCTGGAAACAAGCAGGAAAAGATCTTTAATAGAAAAAGTGTGGGAATCCTATCCCTCTGAGCAATCAGAATTGGGGATTTCTTAGAATGCTAGATGTTTATCCTCCTAAGTCTTCATTGATTTCGTTTGTAATACAAAGATGCCTTGTATTGCTTTCTGATTCAGTCATTTCTTAGTAAGATTTCATTGCAGAACTTCGTAAAGTGAAAAAAATATTCTTTAACGAAAAGAGACGTTGACATCTGTCAGAAGGCCTAGAATTAAAGAATGCTTTGACTTTGGTAAGATGGACAACCTGGTCATGCACAGTGTCTAAGCTGACTCAAGGTCAGATCAACCTGCGAGCCCCAAAGCCCCTGGAGGTAGATTAAGTGACAGCATTTCAGGTTTCTTACCTGTCCCTTATGTCTGAGACTTCTTGTATATTTTATTTCAGTGAGCTGTAAATTAGTTGTCTTCAAAATAATATGTAAATTTCAGTATTCCACCTGGCAACTATAAAGTATTTATAAAGATAAAAAAACTACTGAGGTGCATTTTATGTTGTTGGTTGGTTGGTCAGACACTTAAGTCATGTCTGACTCTTTGCAACCCCATGGACTGTAATCCCACCAGGTTCCTCTGTCCATGGGATTCTCCAGCCAAGAATACCGGGGTGAGCTGATACTTCCTTCTTCAGGGGATCTTCCCAACCCAGGGATCGAGGCTGCATCTCTTAGGTTTCCTGCATTGGCAGGAGGGTTCTTTACCACTCACACCACCTGAGAAGCCCCATTTTGTTTTATATGTGCTGTTTAAAACTACGTGTGTTTTTTTTAATGTAAATACCCCTGCTTCTTTAAATTAAAAGCACTGCAGCGTGGATGCTCCACAAGATGGCACTCTCGCTTTTCCAAAATACTTTATCTTCCTTGCGCACCAAGCATCATCTTTAACAGAACAGAAATACCCAGAAAATCACAGAACATTTCAAAAATGACTGACTTGTTGAAGGAGCAAGGTAGGAGGCTCTGTGCAGACATACCTTAGTTAAAAATTTAGCAGCTCCTAGGGAAATGAACACAGGTGCTACCATGGTAACCATTCACTTGCAGTCTGCGGTTGTGTCCAGTGATGAAGGAAGTTAATTTGCAAAATCTCCAGGTAACACGTAGTTGGGTGGGTTATGTCTTCAGCAGCATCAGGACCAAACCTCGGCCGAGCCTGCTCTGTCCCGTGCCCTCTCCCAGGCACTGGTCCTCCTGTGGGCATGCTTTCTTTCCAAGAGGATGAAATGGGAGCAGCACTGTTTATGATGTCTGGATTTACATATATTTAGACATTCAGTGTTGGGAGAAAGTGTTCATAAATAAGTCCTTTATGGTTTACAGAATATCATATAAGCTCTCCCCAATGACATTTTTCAATCCAGACAGAATTGAAGGAATTTTCATTGCAGCATCATTTCAAATATGCAAATCTGGAAGTAGCTTGAACATGCCACACCATGGAAGTGGATAAATCAGTTGTGCTCGATTGCACCGTGGAGTTCCAACAGCGCTTACCATCATGAATGCACCCGATTAAGTTCTGTGATTTTGCTAGTTGCTAAGCTGTTGTCTCTGTTCCAGCTCCCCACCACACACACACACTGCCTTGTGGTGCTGGACAGGCCCTGCTCCATCTGCCGCTGTCCTGCCAGCGTCCCCAGACCCCAGCCAGCACCGTGGCAGCCCTCGGTACCAGTCTCCCGCTGTTCTGGCTGTTGTGAATGTCCTCGTGCTCCCAGAACCAACTCCTTGAGTCCTCCTGCAAGCCAGCACTGCCGGCTGGTACCCTTCCCTGAGCAGTCCGGGCCTTGCCTTCAAGCTTCTGGACCCTAACACCCTGCCTCAGGGAGGGAGCTCTTCTTGCAGGTGCTTGCTCTGGGACCTCAGTTCCTCTGGCTGTTTGACTAACACCTGTTTATGTGTGTCCTTGTATTATGTTTTCTCTGTTGCAATATTTAAAGTGGCTCCTGACTGATAAAATGACCATATGCCAGGAACTATAGACACACAAGAGAAACTTAGATAATTATTCACACTAGATTATATACACACAGGTAGCTGTAAGTTCATGTATACATACAAGTACGTATTACACATTTTTACATATACTACATTTATACCTGTCCATACACCTATGTATATAAAATGTCATCTAACCCTCCCACCATGAGAGACAGAGGAAACTTGAGTCTCAGGGAACTTTCGAGAAGTCCCATAGTATTACTCAGCTAACAAGTGAAGCTGGGGCTGGAATCCACAATCACTGACACCACAACCCATCTTTTTCCCACTCTGCCTAAGTCAGTCTATCCTTCCTAGTGTTTCATGGTTCAATCCCTAGGCTGGTCTGCACATGTTTCTTCATGTCATAATATAAATAAGCTCTATTGTAATAACACTAAGACCGTCACTGCTGTATATAGCAGTCTGTGCTATACAGGACTGCTTCTGTGATCAGAGTTACAAGAAGTTTGAGAAAACGGGAAAGCGTGCGTGCGTGCTCAGTTGCTTCAGCTGTGTCTGACTGACTCTTCGCAACCCCGAGGACTGTATCCAGCCAGGCTCTGTCCATGGGATTTCCCAGGCAAGAATACTAGAGAGGGTTGCTGTACCTTCCTCCACTGGATCTTCCCCACCCAAGGATAGAAACTTCGTCTCCATGGACACCACTAATTCCAGGTTACTTATCATTCAAGTATTCGATTCAGTGCCTCTTCTGTGCCTGCTACGTGCTGGGCTCACTTGGAAGTAAAAGAAACCTAGTCCCGCCTTCAGAAAGTTTATAGTTGAATGCGGGGCTCCTTGGCACAAGGCCTTTGTGTCGCCCACCCCTTTATTTACTCCTGTAATCAAGGAGCCTTCATTCAGCTTCCATGCCCTTTCCTGAGTTAAAGGGGGCAGATTCAAGCAGTTGTTCATTAGGGAAGGGAGGGGATGCAGAGACCAGGCAGAAACAGTCAAGAGCAGCCTTGAGGCAAGGTCCTATTTCCCCATGAACGGAGACATACAATAGCATCTTTGAGCTATTCTGCACCTACTGAAACCCACTCCGGGTGGGAGAAGTTAACAATTAACCATGATATGCTGCTCACGTAGGCCCCAGACCACCTGGACTTGAAGGCTGATCCATCAGAAGACAGTCCACAAGCTGATCATGCCCTCTTTGAAAAACCGCCATAAGACCTCTCGCTATATTCTCCAAGTTGGGACATATGGTTTTGAGGGCAGGAGCCTGCTGTGGCCCTCTGGCAAAGCAATAAAGCCCTTCTTTTCTATTTCATCCAAAACTCTGTCTGAGATTCCATTTGGCAGCAGCATACAGAAAAGCTGAGCTTTTGGCATCAGCAGACTGGGGAAACTGTCTTTAAATAATCCTACAGAGGAGAGGCCGTGAGTGTATTATATGGGGGTTTAACATAGATTGCATGACCTCCAGGGCAGTCTCAAATGCTGACCCCACACACATACTCTTAAGAGTTTGGCATGTGCCCCTCTCCTGCCTGGAATGGTGTGTCCATTTTGCCTTTGTTTGGCAGAAACTTGTCAGTTCTCAATCCAAAGTAGTCACAGATCACAGCCATGGAGACTGTACAGCTGTGTAATTTTTCCTAAAAACCTGCTCTTTTCTGGTGGGGAGTCAATCAGTGTTCCCAGTGACAGTTGCCAAAGCCCAGGCTTTCCCAGTTTAAATGCAATCAGTAACACGTGCCTGGACTGATCCTAGAACCAATGGCCAGGACATTTTCTGGGGACAGATTCCAGACGTCTAAACACAGATCTAACCAAACCAGAAACTCCTGCAGTCATCAGAGTCAGGACTCTGTCATCCCACTGTGACAGCTAAACCTCTGAACTCCCTTCTTGGCTGCATCTCATTAGTCAACAAACAGATCATTAGTCAACTATGCAGCAAAGAAAACGGCCTGGTACAGCTAAGGTCCACTGATGGATGCTCCAATTAGTGGGAGAAACTTCAGAGAAGCAGGATATTTGTATGGCCTCAAAGGACCTCCCCCAGGAGACTTAATAAATACTGTAATGGTTTGCACAGATGTATCTGATTTTCTCAGGTTTCCTCCAACCCCAGGATAGAGGCGAACAGAGTAAGAGAACAAAAGCTGCACGTGGGCCAAGAGGTGGTCTCTGTTCCCCAGGCTCAGCACAGAGCCTGGTGCAGAGAGTGAATAAAGGAAGGAACAAACATGAAGATGGATTATGGAAGGCCATGCCTGAGCGTGGAGGGGAAGGGAGAGCAGATAGGAAGCAGGAGGGACAATGCAGGCCCAGGACTCACCAGCCATGGTGAACCCACAGGACAGTGACCAAGGAAGTGGGCCTCCAGCCACAGATGAGGGCTCTGTTACCTGAAAGAGCTCCCAGCCGCTCTGCTCACCTGCCCTCTCACATCCACCTGGTAACCACCGTTCTACCCTCTGTCTCTACAAATCTGACTACTCTGCACACCTCTTAGAAGTGTAGTTGTACAGTACAGTTGACCCTCCCAACAACAGCTGTGAATTGCACATGTCCAATTTTATATGGATCTTTGTCAACTGTAAATCTTAACAGTATTACAGTCCATGGTTGGTTCAATCCTCAGATGCAGAGGACCCTTGGATATGAAGTCAATGCTTAGTTACTCAATCGCATCCAACTCTGCAACCCCGTGGCCTGTAGCCCTCCAGGGGTCTACAGGAGGCTCTACAGGATTCTCCAGGCAAGGCTACTGGAGTGGGTTGCCATGACCTCCTCCAGGGGTCTACAGGAGGCTCTACAGGATTCTCCAGGCAAGGCTACTGGAGTGGGTTGCCATGCCCTCCTCCAGGGAATTTTCCCAACCCAGAGATCAAAGTCTCATCTTCTGTGTCTCCTGCATTGCCCACAGATGCTTTACCACTGAGCCATTGGGGAAGCCCTGGATATGAAAGGATGACTGTAACTTACATATGGATTAACGCTCTTGTTCCAGGGTCAAGGAACAAGACTTTTATGATTTGTATTTTATGTCTTTGTATTTGCCTTTTATGATTGGCTTATTTTACTTAACATAGTGTCTTTAAGATTCATCCATGTTGTAAACTGTGACAAGATATCCTTCCTTCTTAAGGCTGAATAGTATTCCACTGTATATACACATCACATTATGCTTATCCATTATCTGACAATGGACACTTGGATTGCTTCCTTTTGACAACTGGGAATTATGCTCCAGTGAACATGGATGTACAAATACCTGTGAGTTCCTGCTTTCATTCCTTTTGGGTATGTACCAGAAGTAGAATTACTGGATCATGTAATAATGCTATGGTTAATTTGGGCGGGGGGGAGGGGGGAACTGCCATAATTTTCCACAGCAGTCACACCATTCTCTATTCCTACCAGAAAAACATAAGTTCCAAATTTTTCCATATCCTCAACACTTGTTATTTTCTGCTTTGTGGTTGTTCTTGTTTTGTAGTAGCCATCCTAATGGGGGTGATGTGTTCTCATTGTAGTTTTGACTTGCATTTCCTGGTGGCTCAGATTGTAAAGAATCTGCCTGCAATGTGGGAGACCTGGTGTTCAGTCTCTGGGTTGGGAAGATTCCCTGGAGAAGGGAATGGCAATACACTCCAGTATTCCTGCCTGGAGAATCCCATGGACAGAGGAGCCTGGCAGGCTACAGTCCATGAGTCAGACATGACTGAGCAACTCAACATTTTCACTGCACTTTAATCAGTGAGGTTGAGCATCTTTTCATGTGGTTATTGGTCATTTGCATATCTTTTGGGGGAAATGTCTATTTAAATCCTTTGCTCATTTTTAAACAGAGTTGTTGGGTTTTGTTGTTGTTGGGCTGTAGGGATTCTTTACACTTTCTGCATAGCAATCCCTTATATATATGATATGTAAATCTTTCTCCCATTCCACCATTTGCCTTTTCACTTTGCCTGTAAGTGACCATTTCTCTGGCTATAAAATTGAGGGATATTACTTTCTATCTGCACTGAAAATACTACTTTGTTGTCTTTTGGGATCTGTTACTGGTGAGAGGTAGTCATGTATGGATGTGAGAGTTGGATCATAAAGAAAGCTGAGCACCAAAGAATTGATGCTTTTGAACTGTGGTGGTGGAGAAGACTCTTGAGAGTCCCTTGGACAGCAAGGAGATCAAACCAGTCAATCCTAAAGGAAATCAGTTCTGAGTATTCATTGGAAGGACTGATGCTGAAGCAGTAATACTTTGGCCACCAGATGGGAAGAACTGACTCTGAAAAAGACCCTGATGCTGGAAAAGGTTGAAAGCGGGAGGAGAAGGGGAGAGGATGAGATGATTGGATGGCATCACTGACTTGATGGACATGAGTTTGAGCAAGCTCTGGGAGTTGGTGATGGACAGGGAGGCCTGGAGTGCTACAGTCCAGGGTCACACAGTCCGACACAACAGAGCGAGTGAACTGAGAGGAAGTCAGCTGCCAATCTGATTAGTGTTCCATTGGTAATTTGATTTCTATCTCTGGAATCTGAAAAATCCTAGATTTTTCTCTTTATTCTAAATATTTAATAGATTCACTACTCTGTGTCTAGGTTTCAAGGACTTAAGTCTTCCTTCAATTCTTCAACCCAAAAAAGGACCCTGAGTCAGAGTGACTGGCCAAAAACTAATGTGAAAACTAATCCCATCACCATAAAACCTGAGACTGCAAGCCAGCAGCAAATCAGTCCTCTTGGGTTCCCCTACCCTTCTATTCTCCCCCATTAAAGTCTCTTGCTTTGTCAGGACGTGTGTTTCCTCCGACAATTCAATTCCCAGTGTTAGACAAGAGCACACTTTCAGGCCCTGGAAAGGGTCCTCCTTCCTACAACAATTTAGTTCTAAACTTATGAGTTTGTGGGTTTTTTCTTCTTCAATCTTTCACATTTACAGCTCCATGGCTTCCACAGATCCCTCTAATGGTTTCACAGCTGCCTTCAGCTGCCCTTATTCTTTCCCAGCCCTCAGCTCAGAACCAGAACCCAAAGTGGCGTTTTTGGGAGTTGCTAGCCAGCAATAGCAACGGGGGGGGGGGGGGGGGGGCGGGGGGCGGGGAGCGGGGGCGGGTACTCTGTGGATGCAGTCCTCAGACAGCTGGCCCTGATCCAGGATGGGAAGCAGCCCGTTGTCCACCAGGCTCTGCTGAAGGCCACGATCCCAAGGGAAAGAGGAGTCACAAGTTAGGGTACCAGGGAGTCATCTTGGCTGGGATATGATCTGGCCGCTTTACCTGCACCAGAACACGAGTCTCAGGGCCAAACAGGCGTTGTCCATCTGCTTGAACCGCTGAAGAAAAGACTGCGTTATCAGGGAGTGAAGAATGTCCACACCTTAGGCGGGGACGAGTACCTCCCGTCACTCGGCGATAAGGCCCATCCCCCGGCCAAGGTTATGCCAACTCACTTCAGAATCTTGTCTCCCCAGAAACCTGCAGTAAGTGATACTTGTAGGCGCGTCTACGCCCACAGTCATTGTTTACCAGTACTCACCAGTTATAAATAAACTGGAAATTTCAGGAGCCTTCGGGCGGTGAGAGGGGGCTATCCCCCGTTCACAACTCAACCTTAAACACGGGTTTCAAATCAAATTGACTACACGGGTCCGCCCTAAATCACACGCACCTACGATTTCCGCCTGAAATACGAGCAAATTACTCCAAAGCGCGGGGGTACGGAGTCGAGACGCACGCGGGGTCCTTGAGGCCGCAGTCTGGACGAAAGCCGCCTCGCTGCAGCGAGCATCCCTGCGCCCGCTCGGGCCCAGCTTGCCGCCTAGAGGCGCTGCGAATGCCTTCCACTCACTTCCGCCGATGTTGCCCCGCCCCTTCCGCCGCCCGCCCGGCAGACCACGCCCTGGCAGCGGCGGGTACGGACGCAATGCGGGGCGGGGCGGGGCTGGGCGCGACGCGGCGCGGGGAGGGGTCGCGGCGGAGGAGGAGGCGGGGGCGGGACGCCGAGCCGGGCGCCGAGCCGCCGGGAGTGCCCGAGTAGCCACCGCCGCCGACGCCGTCGGGGCCCTGGCGCGCCCCGCCAGCCCGGGCCGGTGGGTGCCACGGCCGCCCGCGGAACATGGCTCCCAGTACGCTCTGGCGCTGCTGCCAGCGCACCGTGGGCTGGGTGCCTGTGCTGTTCATCACCTTCGTGGTCGTGTGGTCCTACTATGCGTACGTGGTGGAGCTGTGCGTGTGTGAGTACAGGGCGGGCAGCCCTCGGCCTCCCCTCAGCCTCCCCTGGCGCGGCCCCGGAGCTCCGGCGTGTGCGTCCGCCCGAGCCCGGCCGCGGGGCCCGCTTCGGCCCGGGGGTCTCGGGACAGCGTCCGGCTTCTGAGGTGGAGGGAGCGGCGCCCCCGGCCCGGCCTTTCTGGCGGCTTTTCGCGGAGTTGCCGTGCCCTCCGCCGGGGTTCCGAGGGCTCTTCTCGCCCGGGCCCTGGGCGCGGGCGGAGCCGCTGCGGGTGCGGACTCCAGGTCCTGGCTCAGCCGCCGGCAGCTCCTGCCGCTCGTTCCCGGAAACTCGGGGCCGGCGGCGTCGCGCTGCTGGCGACACCGGCCCCGGGGTCTCCCAGAACTACCCAGTCCGTCGCGAGCGCACAGCTGCCTGAGGGCCCTCGGGGTGCACTTCGAGGGGAGCCCCGGCACCGGGCTAGGTGCTGGCGGCGAGAACGGGGGGACGCCGCGGCACCCGCTCCCCGCGGCGTTCTCTGCCCCGAAGCGCAGATGCGGACCCGCGCAGGTGAGCTCGCGTGTTAAAACTTGGTTAAAATAGCATTCCCGCGAGGGAGAGACCAATTCAGTTCAGAAGGTTTGAGGGAAGGTTTTGAAACAGACATGTCCACTTTCAAGAAAGTTGTTTTGTACCTGTGAAACATTTATTTCCTGCAAGTAGATCCAGAATAAATTAGTTGTGAAATACATATCAAACAGTAGTGGAGTTCGTCTGTTGAATGTGATTGTTTAGTTTTGTACTTTTGGATACCAAAATGTTTGCCGTAAAGATGTTCGAATCTATTATAAAACTGACTAGCTTAGGCATTTCTTAAAGCTACTGCTTCCAGAAGGTGATCATGATCACTGGATTCTCATCAGCTTGCGGTGAGACTTTCCCTTACCTCAGGGCTCCGAGGTAGGCATTTATTTATTCTAAAAGTTGGACCAGTCTTACTCAGTTGTCAGAAGATAATTCCCTCCCTCTCCCCATTCCATAGGGATTTTGAAGTAAAGGTTCTGAAACTTTACTTGAAAATGTGCGTTTATGTTGAAATTGCAAATTTAACCTATAGATAGTGATCAGAAATATCAAAAGGTGATAGCAAACATGAAAGGAACATGAACGTGTACTGGTGGGGATAAAGGGAACTTTTCATCTTTCTCTCCTTTAATCTTAGTGTCTCTGAGCATAGATGTCCCTACCTACAAATGGAGGAAATGAAACAGCAATGGGCCCTTTGGTTGGTCACATGATTGTTGAGTGCCTACAGGAAAGTGACCCACATCTTTCCACTCTATGTAAATTTAGTGAGCTAGCCAGGGTCCCTGGAACTGTGATTGTTTGGTCCATAATGGGGAATTGGGGCGGGGCTAAGCGCATGCCCTTACTGGAGAGCTGTAAGACTTTAGGCCCACCCTTTAGAGACCACACCCCAGCATTTCTTCAAGTTAAAACATTCTGCGACAACTGAGGCCCAGTGCTTGGCAGAATTTTCAGATATTCAGTGGATTAAAGGTCTTACATAGAGCCTGCATTTACTGCTAAGATACCAGCCTTGAACTAGGGGAGCTTTTGGGATGTCTACAGTGTCACTGGACTTTATGGTGGAGCATAAACACCATCATAGTGAAACTGTGCTTTAAACCACTTGTGTATAATCCGTGTTTTCATAAGCACAGACTGTTCTACTGAGATATACCAATGTTTAACTTTATAGAAGCTTTAAATTCAGTGAGTGTGAGTTTTACTTAAAATGCTGTTTCAGTAATTTTTACAGGATTTTGTTTCTGGTGTTCTTTAGCCAACTACATGGGAGAGAATGATGATAATTATATCTTAACATGTGTTAATTTATTTAGTCCTCAAAATAACAAAAGTTAAGTGATTTGTGCAGGGTCATACAACTAGTAAATGGCATAACCAGAATTGGAACTCAGGTGGTTTGGCTCCAGAGTCCATGCTTTTGTGTTTAACTACTATGCAAGACTAGTGTACTTGATTGTCCAGATCTAGACAATCAGCAGATTTCATTCTTATCTGTAATTATTTATGTAAAGTAGTTTTCTCCTGAAAGGTGGCAGCTGAAGTTTGCTAAATATCTCAGAGAGTAAAAAGGTGTGGCCCACTGAAGGGCATTTGAAAAAATAAATTGTTTATGAGAAGCCCTTGTTCCAGCCCAGCTTCTGTAACTTCTTAATTTTGTGATTCCACACACACACAGAAGTAGTGGTAGGAATAATATTGAGGGTAAACTTGAGTAATAAGTAATGCATCTGAGATGGCCATCACAGGGGTGATAAGCAGAGAAATAATGATTGAGTAGTAATGTTGGTCCTTGATTTTAAATAAGCTGAAATTCTTTGATTTTCCCTCAAGGCTAATATTTGAGCATTCGAGGTTAGCTGTGCGTGGATTGACCAACTTTTCCAAATTAGCGCTTCCCCCACAAATTTGAAGCTGTTAGCAGTAGATGAGTAACTCTTATTTGGCATTTAGAGGATCTGAGAGTTTAAAGAGATTTTAGAGATGACCTAATTCAGTCTCTTTATTTTACTTCTGAGAAAACTATTAGTTGGAAGAGCTATATGGTGTTTGTCCATGGTATCTGTCCAAGGACAGATATTCCTTTTTACCTTTTTTCAGAGAGAATATGTAGGATAGAACTGTAACCTCTGGTTCTACATATCTAATAATTCCTGCGTCTCCTGTGTAATTTCTTCAGAGACAAGATAAATAGCTTAAACATCAACATTGAGCACACTGTCTCCGCACAGTTGATTCCAACATGTTCTATTGATTTCAAAAGAACCAGCTTTGATTTCACTTATTTTTCTGGGTTTTTTTTTGTTTGTTTTTTTCTATTTCATTGATTTCTTATCTGATATTTCCCTTTCACCTTAGGTTTAACTTGTTCTTTTTCTAGTTTCTGAATTTAAAAATTGAAGTGATTGATTTGAGCCCATTTTTAGGTGTTTACTCCCTTATACCTATCCCTAAATACTGCTTTATTCACATTCCATGAATGTTGATATATTGTATTTTCATTTTCATTCACTTAAAATTATTTTCTGGTTTCAATTTTCACTTCATAAGTATGCTGTTTAGTTTGCAGTTACTTGGGGATTTTTTTCTCTTTTTGTTACTGATTTCCAACTTAATTCCATGTGGTCAGAGAACATACCTTGTATGACTTGTCCTTTAAAAATGTATTCAGGCTTGCTTTATGGCCCAGAATGTGGTCAGTCTTGGAAGTGTTTCATGTGAATTTCAGAAAAATGTATTCTGTATTCAGCAGTGTTAATTTTGCTGTTTGTGCTGGGCAGTCTATTATGTCATAATGCTCCATAAACGTGAATTAAGGCAGGTTGGTTGATAGTGTGGTTCAAATCTTCTGTATTCCTGCTGATTTTCTATTTGTTCTAACAATTAATTACTCAGAGGTATAAAATAATAATGGGATTTGTCTATCTCTCCTCATAGTTTTATGTTTTTGCTTTATATTTTGCAGCTCTCTAATTTAGCACATGTAATACTTTGAATTGTTGTGTCCTCTTCAAGAATTGACTCTGTTATTATGAAATGACTTATTCCTGGTGGTATTGTTTGTTTTGAAATCTACTTTGGCAGATATTAACATGTCCATTGATCTTTCTTTTGATTAGTGTTAGCATGGTATGTCCTTTTACTTTAATTTAACCTGTTTATTTATTTATTTTTTTAACCTGTTTAATATTTACTTAAAGATTTCTTTTAAGCAGCATTTCTTATAAGCAGCATATCGTTGGGTCTTGCTTTTTTAAACTAGTCTGAAAATACTTGCCCTTTTCTTTTTTGAATTGAGATATAATTGACATATTACATTCATTGCAGGTGTCAGCATAATGATTTCAGATACACATATATTGCACAGTGGTCATCACAAGAAGATTAGTCAACATTCGTCACTTTACAGAGTTATAACTGTGTTTTCCCTGTGATGGGAACTTTTAAAATTTATTCTTGGGAACTTCCCTGGCAGTCCAGTGGTTGAGAATCTGCCTTGCAATTCAAGGAACGTGGGTTTGATCCCTGGTCAGGGAACTAAGATCCCACATGCTGCGGAGCAACTAACCCACCTGCCACAACTAGCGAGCCTGTGTGGAACAACTGCTGAGCCCACATGCTCCAGAACCCACGCACCACGATAGAGAGCCATGTGCCGCAGTGGAAGATCCCCCTTGCCGTAACTAAGACCTGATGTGTTCAAATAATAAAATATTAAAAAAAATAAAATTTACTCTTAGAGCAACTTTCAAATGTAACAGTAGTCACTGTGCTGTACAATCTCTGCCTTTTAATTGGCCTGTTTTGACCATTTTAATGTGGTTGTTGATGTGGGTAACTTTAAGTCTTATTGGTTTTTTTTTTTAAGTCTGTCCTAAAATATTTAAATAAGTAAACAAATCTTATCTATTTAACTGTGTAGTTACCATTTCTAGTATACTTCATTCTTTTTTTTATAGATCTGTATTTCCAACTCCTTATTGCAAAATTCAGACTTAAACAAAGTAGGGAAAACCACTAGATCATTCAGGTATGACATAAATCAAATCCCTTAAAATCATACAGTGGAAGTGACAGATAGATTCAAGAGATTAGATCTGATAGACAGAGTGCCTGAAGAACTGTGGATGAAGGTTCGTGATATTGTACAAGAGGCAAGGATCAAGACCATCCCCAAGAAAAAGAAATGCAAAATGGTTGTCTGAGGAGGTCTTACAAATAACTGAGAAAAGAAGAGAAGTGAAAGGCAAAGGAGAAAAGGAAAGATATACCCATTTCAATGCAGAGTTCCAAAGAATAGCAAGGAGAAATAAGAAAGCCTTCCTCAGTGTTCCATGCAAAGAAATAGACAAAAACAATAGAATGGGCAAGACTAGAGCTCTCTTCAAGAAAAGCAGAGATGCCAAGCAAACATTTGATGCAAAGATGGGCACAATAAAG